CCTTCAATGCACATTCGGACCATTGAACCTTCGGACTAATGAACCTTCGGACTATCGCTACGGCCCCTAACTAAAAGGCTGAGATATACTTTCAATATCGTAAGACCTGGATCTACCACACAAAAGAGTGTGATCCAACGGGAAGACAGACCACCGAAAGTGAAACTACCCGGTATAATCGAATCATTCTGCTACGATCGAACTAGTATGTTGCATTAAAAAAACAGATAGTTCTCCAAACTTAAAGCAGGTGTGGTACAGTTTCTCAAAAGATATACGGATATTTTAAGTTCATGTTGACATGTAAATTATTTTGTGTCCTTTGCATGTCGATCGTTGGCGGGGGAGTGCGTATAGTCGTATAGTAGGTTTTTTATGTCCGTAGGTCAATTGAAAGATATTCATTACAACGAAGTGTTTCTGATATTCTCCGACGGTCATTAGCAGGTGTTAACTTTTTTAGGAAGGTTCTGGTTGTCGTTTAGTGCGTCCTCAACATATGTTCAAACGATTAAGTTTTTGTATCCAATACCGAAACTGAAGTTACGGGCTAGTTTTATTAACCTATTTTACCAACATGCCCCCATTTAGGGACAAATGCCTACAAAAGAAAGGGTGAGAGGAATGGAACCGAAAGAAAAGTCGCAACAGCACAGACAAGACAGAGAACATAACCTTCTTGACAGAGGTAAGACATAATTAAAATTTATAGTTTTACTTTAAACTTGCAAGTTTTAACATGTTCTTTAGTCCATCAGTATTAACGCAAAACCAGTGCTACATGTACGTTAAAATGAAGTGTGTCTCAATATTTAACTTAAATCATTTAATCGGATCAAAGCCCTTCAAGTTATCTTGAACTAAGGTTAACTTTACTTGGTAAAACAATGGAGTTGTACACAGGTCAAACCTTATCATTGATCACACTCAAACCAAATATACCCAATATATGAGGTCACGGGCATGCTCTTTAAAATATTTAGTGCACAGATTACAAACTATGCTTGATTATTTTAGGGTCCCACATCATAGTTTCACTTGGAACCTTTACTCACTTTGAAAACTCAATCATCACTGGTTTTGTTCTGTTATTTTTCTCCTACAGGTACAACGTAAAAAAATTTGATAATCTTCTATACAGAGCAGTTAATTTTTAAACGACTTTAATTTGCTTGACACTGAATATTATAAAATGGGGAGTTGAATAAACCCTACTAACAGTAAAATAAGCATTAAATAAACTCTTTTCCATATGTGGTTCAATTATTGTATCAGAAATGTCAACCTGTAATAGAATCACACTATATTTTCAGTCAGGAACAGAGAACCCTGTTTCCTGTTCACCAAGTACTTGGGCAAGATAAAACTGTCTGTCAGTTTTCCTGGGAAACATGTGAAACGTAGTATTAGCCATGACTCAAAGCCCCTTGAGTTACAGCTTAAATATTTATAAAAACATCCTCACGTCAAATAGAGTGTATAATTTACTGTGACTTAATCACTACAAAATATATTGGAACGCAATATCGAAATTAAAATTATACGGCCCGGAACATACGTTACACAATGTATAAATATGGTGAACATTTAATGTATGTAAAATTGAGACAGTCGTGGATTGTTGTTCTAAGCACGTATATGTTTAAAAAAAAAAACTGAATACAACTTAGCATTCTTTCAATTCAGTTTTTTGATACTTCACCATGTGAAATGCACTTCTATATTTTGTTTGGGTGATCAACGTTTGTACACTTGACATACCGTCTTTTATTTTAGTTTCGATTAAAAATAAGTAATATGTGTCACCACTGATAACGTGGGTATTACCGCAGTTTTTTTTCACGTGACATGCAAGTGACGCCGTAATCGGCCCACAGCGTTGGCTTGCCAGCGACGCGTTTGTTGTAGCTTAAGCTCGTTGTTGGTCCGACGACTTCTTGTTCTCTAGGGTTTTATCTCCAGATCATTGCAACAATGCAGGCAATGCTGTAAACAAACAGACAGATTGATTAAATAAGTACTATTTCATATTTTATGATAAGGCCTACATGCATAAACACCTTTGGAGAGGATCACAGAACAAAACGCAAGTACCTTGCATAAAATCATCAACATTTTATCATTTTATTGCCCTTCAAGTAGCTTTTTGGCTGGTGGCATTCATTAGATTGCTTAAGCTAAAGACAGTTTTTGTAGTTATCGATGTATTTAAAGCCCATTTACACAAGTGAATGACGTTCACAGGCTATTGTCGCATCACAATATTTGCAATACGAAGTGAGTAAAGCAAGTTTGTTTTGCACACCGCGCGCATCTAGGAGAGATAGCGCCACTATTATCTGTAGAAATCAAAAATGCCCCACCCCTCTAAATCTGGGAGATATTGGCAGAAATCATCTGAAGTTTTCACAAGTGACAACTGTGAGCCCGCATAGTGCCTGTTTTGTAAATTGATTTAATCAAGGATGGCACGGAGATGACTATCAATCGACTGACAAAAGATAAAGCACAGGGATAATTGTTTAATCGCTGTTTCTGTTAAAACCTATCAACAGGTGACTTATAAATTAATTTCCAAAGTTGCCAAAAATGTTATCACAAGTACCGTGCGTGATATTGATCACAAGATCGACAGTCAGTTGGCAATAGGCCAGGCTTACTAAGAATTGGGTTTGTCAGCAGCTCCGATTAAGTAGAATTACCGCCCTATGGAAATAAATATACTTGAACAATTCCCGTGGATGCAGAACTGTTAGCCAGAACGCTCTCACTCCCCACCTGCACACCAGGCATGACTTCAGTGAATGGTATTGATGGATGCTGAGACCTGAAATATAGACAACGTATCTCGGGTGACTATTTTGTGTATAGGGATTGTATTTGGAACTATTTCTTGTTTCCATTTATTTTTCAGTGGGTAATTTTCAGTTTCGTTTCACAAAACCTACATAGTTATAAATTGCATATTTGTAATTACAGGCAATTGTTTTCAAGAGAATATGATATAAATCTTCTCTAAACAATGTTTTCAAGTGTGTAACTTTTACAGGGTTGGATACGTTAGGATATTTTCTTATCTGCTTATACATGTATAGTGAGGAAATGAACATTGTCATGTTATGAGATAATGCTTTCACTTCTGTAATACATTTTGGGGAATTTGTCAATTTGAGCTGACGATGTAACAGCAGATTATTGGGTGAAATTGTAACATCGATTTCAAACAGATCTCCCTCACCCTATAAACATGCCTATCTAATCACAAAAAATTAAGTAGAATAATGATTATTATACAAAAAAAAAAATGGGAAAAGATTTTTTATTTTTGTTGCAGGACCGTTGTATATAATTTGTATACAGTTAACAAGGCAGCAAAGCTGTCAAATGCAAAGACAAAAAAGCAAAAGATAATAATGCACAAAATAGGATACTGTCAATTCTGATGCAATAAGACATTATGCTTAACTGCATTTGGTCAATATCAATTTTTAATTATGCACAACAGGTAATACTGATGAAAGTAAAGTATAAGGCTTCAGGCCCATGAGAGTTTAAGTTTAGACTTGGAAAATGCCAGAATGAGAAAAATGAAAATTTCATTAAAATTGCATTAATTCAATAAAAAATGATAATCCTGATTCCAACAGAGCTTGTTTTCTAATTTGAGCTGTATGTCAACCCTAAAAATTATTCTTGTAAGTCAAAAAATTATAAGTAACACGGTTTTCTTTTAATAACGTTTGTGGTGGTAGTGCACTAAGTAGGTTTTTGTCAATTTTGATGCAATATTACATAATGATTAACTGTAAAATTACCACCAATTTTTAATTATCTAATATTAATAACATGAACCTTTATAAAATTTGATTACCACCGAGCTTCATGCCACCTAACCCTACACCGCCATTCCATGAAAAAGGGTACAATTCCAAAACGAGAAATGCAGAAATATGCAAAACTGGGAAACTTTTTATATTATTTTCATGAAGGGGTATTCAGAGAGTAGTAGGAGAATTTTAACCTACACCATTACTGTATTTAAAGACATATGCACGTGTAAACACGATACCCTATTTTTTTCGTTACGGAGGTTAGGTAACATCTAAATTAGGTTATATTTCAATCATGCCAAAGGTCACAGGTGCCATATTTGATTCAATTATTAAGATTTTGTATGTATTCAAAAAATTATTAACAATTTAAGATTTCTCTTTAATTATAGAAAATGCGGTGCTAACACAATTGGTAATAAGTCAAACGTTTTCTATAAATACAAAGCCTGAGATATTCCAATTTAAATATTTTAGGAATCATTGGGGACAGACATATTTTTATATCATACTATTTGTTTATTAACAAAGTGCTCTCAATCTGTTTTGATATGAGCATAGATCAATCAGCACAAACATATCCAATGTTCAAATGAAAAATGAGTCATTTCGTAACGGAGGTTAGGTCAATAGCGACCATATTTGTTTTGATATTTTTTAGCTATATAAAATGCATATAAAGTCAATTTTTGCCACAAAAGCCAACCGAATGCCAGCATATAGTTTCAAGTAGTATAACTAAGAGAATTACCAAAATGGGGCAGAAAAGAGCGCTGAAGTTAGTGTGTAGTTTCTAGTTTCCAGTTTCGTTTTTCAAAAACGAGCCTGCCGACTAGAAACCAGTTTCGTTTTTCAAAAACGATTCTGGCAACCAGACACTAATGTCGTTTTTCAAAAACGATTCTGGCAACCAGAAACTAATGTTGTTTTTTAAAAACGATTCTGAGAAGCCAGAATGTTTTTCAATAAAATTAAAAATTATACCTCAAACTACAAATGGAGACCCTGCGGACTCTTCCCCCTCCTCACTCTCATCTGCCCACCCCCAACTCCACCTAAACACCCTACACGGCTTTCGCTGTGAAGGTTACGTAGTCGATCGCGGTACACGATAATCGCCGGTTGCCTCTCCCTCCGTCCACCCCTGTTTCTCTCAGCAAAAACTATTCTGGCTTCTCAAAATCGTTTTTGAAAAACGACACTAGTTTCTGGTTGCCAGGTTCATTTTTGAAAAACGAAACTGGAAACTAGAAACCAGGGCCCGGTTGCACCANTAGTGTACATTTGGTTTGTTAATTTTAAGGCAATTTAAAATAAACATTAAATTGCAATATTCTGAGTTGTGACTGAAAAACTTACCATTGCCTCAGAGTTGCTGGCTCGATCAGAAACAGGAGTCTAAGGAGGCAGATCACTCTTCTCGGCTTCATCAGTAACCTTCTTACGTAGTTGTGGGTTCACTCCATAAAGACTTGTCCTCTGAAGTGGTTGTCCTGAGGAATTGAAAATGAGATTTGATATTTTTTCTAGAAAAATTTACAATTTCCATCCCATTTCCAATGAAAATAAAAACTTGATTTTATATTGTCAACCATTATTGAAAAAAAAAACTAAATTAAAAAACAATAATAGAAAACATGACTCAGACCTTAAATATACGTAATACATCATACCCTGTAGAAATTTCAATAAAAAGTTTTTTTCTAGTCTTTTAATTCTTCATAATTGAGCTTGTTAATAACGATTTAAGTGAAAAAAAAAATGATGAAATCACACCACACATGTTTTTGCCTAACTATCAGAGGCCAGTGATTTCCAGTTTAATGGATGTAAAGTAGAATAACAATTACTTGACGATCGCCGTGTCAGTGTATAATATTATCTAAAGAAAACTATACAGAAGTCTCATCTCAGATGCTATGTGTCAAATAATCTATCAGCCATCATATCTGTATTTCAACCGAGCTTGATCAAATAGTTAGGGAACTTTGTGATAACTGCATTCAGTTAGGCAAGATCGTAGTGTAGGACTGAATGAAGAGCGAGGTTACAACATTTATCAATCAAAAAAATACACAACAGATACACAAATATTGGAGATAAAAATATTAGCTGTTGAATGAAGAAAAAATCACATCATTATTATACACAACAGAGAATTGAATGAGCAGAATAAAAGTGCCATAGACTTGTTTTACTTATCTCCAATCGTGGTATTTCCTTGAAGACCTTTCTTTGCCGTTGCCTGTTTCGCTGTTTCCATGTGGCTGAAGATTGAAGATTTGCCTTTTTTTACGTAGTAGATTTTGCAATCGCACACGGTACAGTAAGCCACCCCCTCCACCGCAATTTTGCAAATGTGGTCGCCAAGTCTTTCATCTCCTACCAAAGTGTCTGGCCATTTTCCCCAACTCCACGAATTCTTGACATTTTCGGTAAAAGGATCACCGCGTTTGACGACAATATGGCTTGCCATGTTGATCTGGAACCCACAATACCTTGCGCACAAGGCCTCACCGTAGGGAGTATATCTGCGACAGCTAAAGTCAGCCAGCGCTGTGCTTGCAAAACCATCACAAAACGATTTATTCTTTGATTTTTTTAATAAGTCGGAAAGGGTTCTTAAAAAAGTTGGATTGTGATCACAAAAAATTGAAAATCCTTTGAAAATTGGACTAATTCCAGGCTTTGAACTTAACATGAATCAATGAACTTGCCATGTGCTTTTTCCATGCTCGCTTTTTATTACTACATCACTCACCAAGTGATGGTTTTGGTCAAGACATGACCAGTCAGTAGTTACATGTTTTGGATGGCAGCTGTGTTACCTGTTTTCATATTTCCTTTTGTGGTTTTCTCTTTTGTGGCCTGCATTTCACTCATCATGGTGTTAGCCAGTAGTTAAGATTTCTTTATTGCCTCCTTTTGGCTGGACTTCAGCTCTGTCTGGTCAATGATGTTGTTGGTTTGCTTGCCTGGGCCCCATCGTGCATTGTGACCGAGCGCAGGAGTCTCGATTCCATAACTCGCCCATACTCGCCCCATATAATACACTGTAGTCTCTATTCGCAATGCGCAATGCTTTCGAGTTAGGGGGCCCAGGTGTTAATTCTCCACTCTGTAGCTTCTTCTTTTCAATCTCTGTATTGATCTCTGAGATATCTTACACTTCTTACTTAGTTTCAACTTTTCTTGCTCCAACTTTCTCATTGGTGCTTTTACATCTGACAGTCTCCCTTTCCATCTTTAAACAGCACCCTTTTGCCTGTTTCCAAAATTCATTTGAACCACAAGATTGCGATCTCTTTCACTTTCATACCCACTGGTTTCAGCAATTTCGTTGTGTGCCCTTTCTTCACATTTTGTACAAGTGTTGATTTCTTTTGCAAATCTATGATTGCTCTAGTGTGTCCCTTTGCCCAACATTGCTGTAGACCTTCAGACTTTACATCTATATTAAATCATTTTCCATTTTGCTTTTTTTATTTCTTGTAAGTCATTCTGCCTTACACATTTCCGAAGTTCTTGTGTGCATATGTGCCATGAGCCCCTCACCCTTTTTCGTTTCCATTTGTTATCCGATTTTGCTCTCAGAAGTCCACCTTGCTAGCAAGATTTTGAGAGACTGGTTTACATAAATCCTCATGTAATCGCACTTGCACATTTATTTGACACAGGGACACAGTTTACTATTTATCTGGATTAATGACGAAGTGTGAGCAGGGTATTAGGGAGTTGAGATGTGTGAATTAAACAAGATTTAGCAGACATAACGCAATGATCTAGACAGCAATTCATCAGGGTCAACAAGTACACATAGCAAGACTGAGGTCAGCAGACACATTTTTTTTTACTTTCTTCAATTTCATTATAAAGAAAAAATGCTTTTGGTGAATAAGAAGGCAGCATACATGAAATTGCTTTCACCTTGCCTTTTTTCCAATACAACCTTTACATATGTCTATCACCCATTAAATCATAAAAAAACATTAAAAATGCCCATCATAATATAATTCATTTGATAATTTTGGAAAATTTCAATTAAAGGGATAATAACTCTTCGTTTTGGTCAAAAAAGGAATTTTCCTGGAGTACACAATTTTCCCATACTTACCAATGGTTAATGAATCCATTTTTACATTCAAAGTTAGTCCCTGTTTTTTTTCTAAAATGTTTGATTTTTTGTTAAAATCTCTTAAGAGATTATAACAGAGTACAGCCATCAATGGAGGTCACGTGGTCTTAAGACCAACTCAGATATCAGGGCCCGGTTGCACCAACCGGTCGTAAGTGAGGCGTAGCAGTTGCGCCGGCTTAAACCGGGCGCAAAATGCTACGCCCGAGAAAAGCCAGTTGCACCAAACTGGAGTAGTGTTTACGTCGGTCTTAACTTAGTCGTAAATTTACGCCTGCTAGTTAGGTGGAGTAAGTCGGTCGTAGCTCGTTTTCCACTATGGCTAGGCTGGCACAGAGAGAGTTTGATGACAATTATCGTAGTTAGATTATGTGGGTTGTTTTTTTGTTTATTTCTTACACAAAACTTCCATCTGTATAGCGTGGTTTTTAAAAAACTAATTTTATACACTTATATATATATATAAGTGATTATTAAATACATTATGTGTGTAGCCATGTACATGTACATGCATGTGTTCAAATGCATGTCGACACGCCTTGGCTCTCAGCAGTACGGTTTCTTTAATTCTTTTCACAATTTTTGACAAACCATAACTAACCATAGTCATTTTTTATTCACATTTTATATAATTCATATTTTACTATATATAAACATAGAGACGAAAGCTTAAAATATCAACATTTTAAGGCTCATATAATATGTATTAGGTCTCTTGTATTACTCAATCTCCAAGATATAAGCGCGATTGAATTAAATGATACCTCACGGTGTAACCATAGATAAAAAGGTCATGAAATTGTAGTAAAATTATAAAAAGAAAGCAATGCTGGCTTTTTTTGATTATTTTCAGACTCAAATGTTCCAATAACAAATGTGAAAGTGTTCAAATCCATTAATAGAAATACGTACTGCCTCCAACGCGTTTTTCTCATTTACAACAGCATACTATAATAGCATACATAGCATACTATAATAATATTTTGATTCGGAATATATTTACGATTTTATTGCTATATATCCAAGACAACAGCAAAGTTAACGTATTTTAACGTTCTTATTTCGAAATCAAAATGGAATAATGTAGCTCATGAATTTCTCCGTCACTGAAATGCTCCTTTTCTGTTTATNTATAATATGTATTAGGTCTCTTGTATTTCTCAATCTCCAAGATGTAAGCTCGATTGAATTAAATGATACCTCACGGTGTAACCATAGCTTAAAAAGGTCATGAAATTGTAGTAAAATTATAAAAAGAAAGCAATGCTGGCTTTTTTTGATTATTTTCAGACTCAAATGTTCCAATAACAAATGTGAAAGTGTTCAAATCCATTAATAGAAATAATAATTAATAATAATCCATTAATAGTACTGCCTCCAACGTGTTTTTCTCATTTACAACAGCATACTATAATAATATTTTGATTCGGAATATATTTACGATTTTATTGCTATATATCCAAGGCAACAGCAAAGTTAACGTATTTTAACGTTCTTATTTCTAAATCAAAATGGAATAATGTAGCTCATGAATTTCTCCGTCACTGAAATGCTCCTTTTGTGTTTATTTATGTCATCATTCCATTATGACTGCAGCTGAGAACTCCTCATTTGCCCAATTATACCATCCACGTATTGTTGGCCAGTGGCGCAACGGAGCGTTACTCGGGCGTAGTTACGACGATCAGTTTTTGTCTTTGTGCAACGGGCGTAAGCAGGGAGAGTAAACCTGGCGCACGGACGCCAGGCGTTGCGGTTTACGACAGTCGTAGCCGAGTAGATTTACGCCCTGTTGGTGCAACCGGGCCCAGACACTTAACTTCAGCGCTCCTACTGAGGTTAGGGGTTACTGAGCAACAATGATTAAACTATGACGGTGTCGTAACTATATATAACCAACAAATTCGACAGAGAACACCATGTATGATAAAAAAAACATAAATTCAAATTAGTTGAGGACTAAATATCCTAAAAGACGGGAAAATATGAATATTTTTTTGTGGCAAATCAGCTATAATACCGAAGCGACACGTAGAAATCGTGCTTTTTGCGGCATATAGACCCCCGGGGTTCCCGTTAAAGCGAGTGGTACTATATTAATTGCCGTAGCAATAGTCCAAAGCTTCAATTATCCGAAGGTTCATTGGTCCGAATGTTCACTATAAAACCTTCGGACCAATGAACCCTTGATTAAAAAACGATGAAATTGTTATCACTTTTCGGACCAATGAACCTTCGGACTAAAGATGCAAGCTTTTTCAGCCCAAAGGGGTTAGTATCTGTTATCAAATTCTTTCATTATTTCATTTCAGGTACCATGCAAGTATCTAACAATTACACTTTTTCAAAGAAGGGACAGTAAAGATATAGCAAAATACAGAGGATGGAAAAACATGAGAGAAATCTACTTAGGTACTTGGAAGATGGTAAGAGGCAATCTCTCCGACAGCTTTCAGAAGGCATCAAATATGCCAATCAAATAATCAACAAGGAGAAACTGTCCATTCAGTCTCGGGAAACATTGAGCTTTTTCCAAAAGTTGGCAGAGTTACATAAAATGCGAGCAAATCGTTACAAAAATCAGGCAGAAATCGATTCAGACTTGGTAAGTCTTTTTAAGCTGTTTGAGGCTCTATATAATATTTTGATGGTACTTGTAGCTGCTGGTGTTGCTGACAAAGCTGTTGCCATCCCAGATTATCACCACAACCTTAATCATTAAAGACCCACAACTTCCAAAACCTGTTTTTTTACTTTAAATTTACAAAGAAGAGTTAAAAAATCAGCATTGTGAGATTATTATAATACTAGTATGCTTGGAGGGTCATATAAATAGATCATGGATCTAAATATGACCTTTAATTTGTCCTTTGACCTACACACACTTTCTGCTGTGGAATAGATTTACATGTGCATTTTGCAAATTTCAGAGTGTGGCACTGTCAGCTTATGAAGATCTCTTCAAAGGTATGCGTTTCTACTGTATGTCTGATATTATTATGTATATATGTGCATGTTCCTGTGTATCATACTAACATTGCTAAATGAAATGCCAAATATATTTTTACCTATTTATATGTAAACCAATGGCAAGAAAAACACTGCTTATGAATCAATTACTTTATTAATACATCGAACACTGGTGCTATTATATATTTTAATAAATTTAATTTTCAATTTATTTCTGTACTGGTACATAGATTGTCATGGCCTTGTACAATATGATATATTAATGATGATACAATGCAATTGGTGCATTACCATTTCTCTAATTGGTAATTATGTTGCCTAGCCGTTTGTGAATGAAAAAATAATCTTTATATAATAAACATATGTACTAGTAAATTTATTCATAAAATATTCTATCTAAGATATAAAAAGGTCATTATATAATTGTCCTGTTTGGACAGTGCATGTCAGTATCACTTTAGGCCTGTATAGTTATTCGTTCACCAATTTTAATGCAGTTTTACTGAGAATATGGTAGTAGAAATCCATTGTGCTATAAGTGTTTCAGTTCTTGGAACTCTATCATAGGGTGATATGATAACATGATATTTAGTGTTTGGAATCCTATTCACTGGAATCATCAACTGAAGTATCACATAAACAGTTTATTTTCCTTGTATGGAATTATTTTAAATTATTTTGGATTTTTTTATAAATAGCATCATGTATCCTTGGTTTCTGGGATAAAAGCTTGGCCTCAGATAGAAAATGTGTTTTACCACTCATATCTGGACAGTTGACAAAAAGCCAAGGCCAGCCTGCAGTAGTAAGTATCTTTAAAGTGGACATATACTATAAAACCCTTGCAAATAGGCCAGTTATTTGGGACTTTTAACCTAAGGACCTACAAAACTAACAAACTTGTTTTATTGGTTTAAATGTTCAGAGACAATGTATGTGTTGTATTATATAGGGGAATTGCACTCATCTGATTTTTTGAAGGCCCAATTAAATTGACATATGAAGGCACTTTAAATCTTGCCACTTCTACCTGACAAAAATGTGATGTCATATAGTTTCAAACAGCATAACTTAAAGACATACCAAAGGGTATCATATCATACTTAAAAAAATATGATATTTGAAAAGATATTCTCTGGGTTTTTTTCTATGCTGTTTATAAACTTTGGTCATTTCTGCCAACCCTAATTTGAATATTTAACATGCTATTATGTGCTTAGGCCATAGCAATAGTCCGAAGGTTCATTGGTCCAAAGGTTCACTATAGAATCTTCGGACCAAGGAACCCTTGATTAAAAAACAGTATTATTCTGAATATGTTAAGATTTTTCAGACCAATGAACCTTCATACTATCAAGACACCTCCACACGCGCAGTGGTTACATATGCATCATTCTGTACATTGATTAGTATGGATTAGGCAGACTTTTATGAACAGAAGAGACAAATGAATAGGCCAAGTTTACAACCTGCTTTTTGGCTGACCAAGTGATGTTATTTAGTTGAATAATCCTTTGGCATGTTGACTTTCTTTGAGAAGTGGTTATGTGTTATTGGGAATCTACGCTTACTTCATATGTAACTTCAAAGTAAAATGTCTTTAGTGAACATGAGAATATGACAGTTGTGAGGTAAGACAAACTAAGTGCTGTACACCAATGGAACAGATGCTGCCTCCTTTGTAATAAAAATCCTAGACCTGACCTGATTTTTAATACAATATCTTCTACAGTATTTTGGAATATACAAAATAAAACATGAGATTGTATAATTGTGTTCTCTTAGTTTGCAAGAGCTAAACAAATGCTGAAGAAGCTGGAGGAATGTGGCAGGAAGACCTTGATTGAAGGGGACAAGGCTGGAGCAATGTTTATCTACCAAGATGCAGCAGAGCTTGGAAAATACTTGCTTCATCTTCAAAAGGAGTGTCCTGATACACAGCAGCTGGCTGCAAAATGTCATGTTTCTTATGCTGAGATTTTGTACAACATGGTACTGTTTTTTTTTTTTTTTTCCAAGAAGACTTTTTGCAATAGATTAGATCATGTAATGTGAAGAATCACCCCTCACCCCCTTATGAAAAATAAGTAAAGGTTATTGTAACCCTTTGTTATCATCCAGATACCGAAAATGAGTTTTTCCTGCATCTAATTATTCAGCAATGCATCTGCCTTTGTGCTGATTTAAAACAATGAAAAAACCCTCAAAATATAAAATATCAGCATTTATATTTTTTCACTGCAACGTATAAACATGGGCAACTCAAACTTTTAATTGTAAATTAAACACCTTTCTATTTTGAAGTGAGATAGCAATTGGTATTGGGCGTAACTTCATCCCTGAATAAGATTTAATCATGAACATTGGCAGAGTTAACCAGGAGAGTATAGGCTACAATCCCGTGCTGTCATTTTAGTTTATATGTTTTTGTTATGGAGTTATGAGCCCCTAATTACAGATTTTCATTTACCAAAAGCATTATTTTGCTTTATCAATGATAAAATCTGAACTAAGACTTTCAAGAAAAATTGTTGGCAGGGCTTTGTAGTACTAAATGGTGTCATTAAATCAGCATTAATACATGACAGTTGGGAGTTCAGGTAAAAGAGAAATTTGAAAAACTGATTTTTTTAGTTTTTATCCCAAAATTGCAATTATGAAATCGTCAGTAAGATGACGTGTGTATATGTTAATTAATTTAGTAACCGAACACTGAACATTTATTTATTACCCAAAAGAATGTACATGTATGTAAGGCATTAAATAAGGAGTTTTTGACGAAAGGTAACAATATCCTTAATGCAAAAATTTACCATATTAGGGTAATGACTCGATCTTTTCAATGGGGGAAAACTGTGAATTTTACAGATACTGTATTTTTAAGTCTTAATTTCTTTAAATAAGAGCAATCCTATTGAGTGAAATGGCAACAAAACTGAAAACCAGACTACCTTATATATGGTTAAATTCTATGCATCAAAAGCACCACAACTGCTATACAAAAATATACCAAGCCATTACTGTACATTTTGATGAAATTTGTAGAACTTTTGAATATAAGTTATTACCCAGGCAGACATTAAAAAAAACATTTTATAAATGTTCTCCAACTTTACTCCTATAAAACCATATGGTGTAAAATCAAACAAAAATGTCATTTTAGGGATTTGATAAAGAAAGCTGTCAGGAAAAGGGGCATCATCTGGAAACTGCTTTAAAAGCCTGTACAGATGGTATGGAAATTTTGTTTTATAATGTAAAAGTGCAGTGGTGACATGAAACCAATTTTAAGCCTCTGAATTTGTGTCAGAAAGCCTGTAAGTCATTTAATTCTTTTAGCATTAATCAGTCTCTGAATCTGTTGTTTTGCTTAATTTCATACTTTATTGGCTTGCCACTTTCAGGCATTGAAATCATTCAAAGCAAATGTATGGATTATGGTGCAAATGGGCACATGGGGCAGTTGCATTTTTGGAAAGCAAATGTATTAAGATGCCAAAAAAAATATTCTGAAGCAATGGATGCAGTTAACCTAGCAATTGAATGTGATTCCAAGGTAAGGCAGCTACAATTCAGTTATTTACAATTATTTATTTATTTTATTTCATTATTTTTTCCAAACCTTTATTTACTTTTTTTTGGGAGGGTAGAGGGGACCTATGGAACACCTACATATTGTATATTGTAAAAAGACCTCTCTATTTTTTATAGCACAATTCTATTTATTGATTTTAAATGTTCCAAATGTTCAAAAATCTAGTGGAAATTTCCAAAACTTGATTTGATCAAAATATCTCAGTTTTATAAAATGTCAATTTTTTTTTTTTTTTTTTTTTTTGTGCTGATAAGCTAAAATGCAACCTTAATGTTTACTTTCACTTACAAAACCATAAATCAAATATTTTGGTGCCTTGAAGTGCATTTTTTTTTCAGTGTGTTTTCTTTTTTTAATGAAATTATCAATAAGAGGATCGAAATATTCATTTCTTTCAGAATGAAGATTTCCTAAATGATCTCAAATATTCCATTTTGGAAGAGTGTCAAGAATTTTGTTTTACAGAAACACATGTAAGAACCTTCGTTATTGTAGCAGTTGATATTTTTATGTATAACTTTTGCTGTCAACTTAATTTTTCCTTTTAGAATGACATATAGTGCTATTTGTATGTTTTGCAGTTGAATTGAAAGTAAAAATATAATTTGATCAAACAAGATTTTCAAGCTTGCCATGCTGTTTTGAAGTCAATGGAGCCATTCAGATTGAGAATTAAGAGCTGAGTGCTAGCTGGTCCAGGGCCGAAATATGGCAGACCTGCATGAAAGGAAGACCGCTTAATCCTGTAATGGTCATTCCGCCTCTCATATGCCTTCCCACATGTCTTCCCTCGCCTGGTCGCATTGAGACGAGGTTTTATTACTGTGCCCCTGCAGGGATGCCATGTTGGAAGGCGTGAAAGAGACCATTACAGGATTAAGCGGTCTTCCTTTCATGTAGGTCCACCATATTTAGGCTGTGAACCAGCTAGCACTTGGGTCTTCTCATGCTGAATGGCCCCAATGGGTATTTTTTGCAGGAAAGTGAGGCATTCAGTGAAGAAATACCAGACCTTGCCTCTTCCGAAAAAGAATATTCTTCCATTATGAGTGAGAAATTGGTAGATACCAGGACATATGCCAACGTTACTAGTGGTTTGAGTAGAGAAAATCTATCACGGTCAGATTCCATAGCATCTCTGTCATCTGTCACATCCTTAGTGAAAATCCCAGGTGTAAATTTAGACCCTGCTGAACCTGTTTCATCTGCATGTGCTGTTGCCTCATCAGAAGTTCCTTCTGTGCAAGAAAAGGAGTTCAGAAAATTTCAGATATTTGAAACTTGTGGTCAGTGCTACAAAGAAGATCACAAAAGATTGGTTGCAAGACAAAAAAATAAATGTGAAAAAAGAAATCATACCTGGAATCCAGTTTTTGTTTGTAAGGATAATGTTGAACCCTCCTGTCAGTATGTCCAAATCCGAAAACCACATACACAAACGTATTTTACACCACGCTTATGTAAATATCTGAATACAAAATGGGGCTGTATAAAAAAGGCATGTAACTATGCCCATAGTAAGCAAGAGATGTTGGTGTGGAGATGGATGAAACGAAACCAAGGTAAGCAGCAAGTAACTACAGTCTATATACAGATAACTGTTTTACAAAGCTTTACAAGTGTTCTTGTTAAATTCAAATTCCCCAGTGTACAGACTCATTGCATTTGTTCAGAACCCAAAGGACTACAGTATATGCATCTCATAGGAAGATTATAAGGTTAAGTAAATCTTAGATAGTTGCATGTTTGATGTACTATAACTGGTATGTTATCTTTACATAGGGTGTAATTTTTAATTTTTTGCTCATTAAAATGACTATGGATCTTATTTAATTTCAGTTTCTGAGTTAACTGATGCTTTGCAAGCATCAGAAAGATATTTTCAAACAGTAAAGCAGTGCCCAAGAAGTCCTAGCAAAAAGCCTAGCATCAAACATGTCAGTGCAAAAATACCAGTTTCCCAGGCTCATTTTTATGAGTGTGGTGTGTGCTGCAAGAAGTGGAAACACAGGTCTGAGTTTGATAAACATCTTAACTCAGAGAAACACCTTCAGCAACTGAGGGCAAGTCAGAGTTGGACTCACCGCTGCCCACCAGATGCACAGCAGTACACACTCTGTGACCAGTTAGTAGAATTTTTTTCTCTTTCACTGCATTTACAGTTGTTATTATGTTTACCATATAATATCTGGAATAAGAAATATCATTAGGAAAAATGGGAATCATCTGAGATAGCCCAAAGTGTTTTGACTTAGAGTAAAATGAAACTGGGTTTCACTGGAGTGGGAGGAGACTGGGATCAGAAATAATGACTATTGAGTGCTGTGTACATGGTTAGGAATGAAATTAACCTCAGTCTGGTAGAGTTTATCCATTTGTATTTTCTTGGTCGTTGTCTCTCAATCAGTTCTGTCCAATTATGGTACAGATTTACTATATTTTGCATGTCACTTATGTATGTCTCTCTAACACCATTTTCTCAGTGTGTATATTTATCACCCTATTTGCTGAACAGTTAACCCCACATACCTCACATTGGTTTTGCCATGCCGAGAGCTTGAATTGTTACTACTGCTATCTTGGATGATTTCTCTTGATACTGTATTTGCAGTTTGCAATGTTGGGTGTTGCACTGTTGCATTTGTCATCATTAATATATGTTTTTGAGTTATAATATAAGAATTTAAACAGATTAAAGTAGGATATATAGGGCACCCAGGCTATAGTCTAGAATAATGACATGTGAATTGAGGTTGAAGTTCTATGTGCTTCAGCTTATAAGATTATAAATTTGCTTTTATGGCCCTTTTGTTTCAGGCACATAAGTAATAAATCTTGCCAGTACTCCAATGTTGTGTCACAGTACAATTTTTGCCAACATGCCCATAGTAGAGAGGAATTGAAAGAGTGGGAGGAACGCAAGAGAGAAAACAAAGCATTTCATAGTCTTAAGAAAGAAGAGCACAGGGATTTTTATGAACTGTATAAAAATATACTTCACTGTCAGACAAAACCAAACGAGTTAAAAGAGTTGGTCAGTATAAAGATATATGTACAGAACGTTCAAGTCATAAAATCATATTCCAACATCTAAAAGTGATGTCAGAGTGAATGAAGGGTTTATGATTATCTGAAGTATTTGATATGGTAGATGGTAATAAAAATAAGATGGTCTAGAACATTGAATACTAACATGAAAAAATGATTACACAAAATTTTTATTTGTAGAATTATAATTTTTCCTCCTAAGGTCACTGATACTTGTGTCCCGGGTGTAAAGGTAGAGGTTAAACCCAGCCTTGGTAGTACAACTGGACCAATGGAACTCCATCAGCAGCATCAGGTTCAGGAGGGGAGAACACTTCAGTGGAATTTTCAGGTCAAAATAAAGGATAAAGTAAGCATCAGTGACATGATCTGATATTATTATAAATTCAACACTGTTAATTTGCTGCTTTTCTATGATTCTGATCATATTTCACCAAATATATTCTCATCAATCAATTTACCTTTTTTTTTCTCAGACCAAAAGATTGCAGAAAGTGTATCTTCTGAGGGACAGATTCAGAAGTCACTTTCACTTCATCAACAAAAGTGAAAATGCACAGGTAATTCAGTTCAACTCTGACAGTGGCAGCAAATATGTATTCGGTGTAGAATTTACTAGTCATGGACAGCAAGGCGCCTTTGATCAGTGGCTCATCCTGGATTTTGGTGACCGACCTGTGCTGCGGATGGTTCTGAAAGTGGATGCTGAGACAGATGCATGTAAATTTAACACAGAGGATGTCTCACAAGCTGGTTCTACTTGTAGCCTAAGGCTAAGGCAACCAACTTGCATGAATTGTGATGCTGAGGATGGAAGCGATGAAACAGAATCTTCGGTATTTGAAGAATTGGCTGCTAAGTACCCCATTGTGGATTGGCCTCTGTGTTATAGTCACAGTGGTAAAATCAACTTTTTCTCCTATAAGAGCATGATGCACACATATTTAGAGGAGCAAAAAAGAAAAGAGATGGACATTGTTCATGGGTATTTGATGATTTTTACTATTGAAAAAGATTTCAAAAATAATGTTGATAACTGTCATTGGTCAATTTGTTAGATTTTTTTAAACATAATGGTATGTGTTTTTCAGATTAAAGCTAAAATTGTTCCATCTGGGGTCTTAGAAATTGTCTTTACACTCCTTAAACTCTGCGACTTTGAGTGAAAAAATCACTTTGTTCCATATTATATACATGACATTGTAATTATCATTCTTCATTTGTGTAGTGAACTGGCTTAAATATATTTGCACTAACATTTAATTTTAGGAAAGCCACTATCTTATCACTCAAGCTTCACAAACAACTTCCTGTGAAGATTCATGAGAGCAAACATGAGACTGATGGTTGTATTTTTGGAGAGGTAAAGCAAGACCTCTGCGATTTGGAACCAGCCCTTTGCCAACTCCTTCTCACAGCTGTCAGCAAAGTCTACCTTCAGCCTGATAAAGAAATCAACACTGGGCATATATGTAAAGCCACAGTGCTAAATTATGCTGACTATCTTGCAACAGGAACTCCAAGAAAAGCTCTGTATATAAGGATGTCTCAGAAATGTGCCACAAGGTTGAAACTTGAAGGAGATGTTGCCACTTTGAGGATGCAGTTTGTTTTCAACACCACTCTCTTTGATTTGATGCACCAGTCACTTGAAAGGACTCAGAACTGTTTGCTGTTTCCTGATTGGAATGTTCCCATGGCTGCTGTCCTTCCAGGAAAGTTAAGGTATACTTATAATGATGAAAACTCTACACTATTCTGTAATGTTTTCACTGTTAAGTTTTTGTAACATATATCTGTGATGATCATTTATAACTCAAACATGTAGCCTGAAATGAGTTTTCACCTATAATCTTCGAGGGCACATTCAGATTCACACATACTAGCTGGGTTGGTTTAATTCTGTGGTTAATTCTCCCTAAAATGCAGTCAGTGGAATCAGCTTCAGTTGTCCCATTCTGACTGTAATTCTCACCTGAATATAAAAAGGCTGCTGCAAGCCTGGAAGAAGGTCATCATCTTCATAATCATATATATTTCCAGCATTGCACGTACATCCATGGTATCCAACTGATTTATTCATATCATGTATGGGGTTGAAAATTCTTATTATATATAAACTATGGAAGATTATACTAGAATGAATGCATATAACAGCACTATTCAATTGCTTTTACAGTGTTAGTACCAAAATACTTTGTCTCTATTCAGTGCAATATATGCTTCTCAAAAGACTTCATAATGTGTTCCTTTTTTATTTAAATAAATGTTATAATTTTATTTATCTTCATTTGAAAAATGCTGCAGGGATTTTTTTAAATTTTAGATGCAAGCCAAATGAGCTGTCAGAGGAGAAAAGGAAATGTATTGAACACATATTGTGTCAGGCTCCAGGGAACCAACACGTATCACCTTTTGTTGTGACTGGACCTTCTGGATCAGGAAAGAGCTTTACCATACAGCAGGCCATAGCTCTCCTGGCCAAAGATATGAAGAGAAAGGTTCTCATATGCTGTAAAAAGTCAAGGTACTCTCAGCCTTTGAAATGTAATTATTATAGATATTTGCACCTGCAGTGATTTCGTAATAGATGTATACCAGAGGGTGAATTCTACTTATTTCTTTCTTAGATTACTAAGAGAGGCATGATTCCCTGTGCACTTGTATTGTTCACACTGAGCTATACTGTAATTAATAATGCACTATAAAAATTATAAGAACAAACACAAAAGATTAATAATGATAATAATGATTATAAGTAACGTAAAAATGATAATTTTATCACTTATAATTAGTTACATATTACCCAACTGGCCTAATGATCTTAATAACTTCAATATTTCTTATAGTGATGTGGACGCATATGTCATGGATTTGGACAGAAGGATTAGTGGTGGAATGCTTCCCTATACAAGTAGGCCTCTAAGGATACTAGGTCTGTCCTCCCCTGTCTGCCTACAGCCTGAAGTAGTGCAGTACTGCAGTCAGCATCCCAGTCCAACTCAAAAAGAAGTAGATGAACACCGAATTATTGTTACAACACTGACAGCCTCTCTCTTGTTGAGGAAAGATGTCAACAAATTCCCTGCTTTTACCCATGTGATAATTGATGGCATGGACAAAGCAAATGAGACTGAGAGTATCATCCCACTGATGTATGCCGAATGTACGCAGACAATTGTTGTTTTGACTGTTGACCCCATGATGTGTGTGTCCCCTAGTGTACACGTGACACCTAGATCAACATCACAAAATGAGCTTAGTCACTTCCTGACAGACCGGCTGAAGATGCTGCAGGAAAATGAAAACCAGATGTACCTGTTCCCTCTGAAAAGGCTCTCAGGAAAATCTTTTGACATCATACATTTTCTGTCAAATGCTTTTTATGATGGCAAGCTAGAAGTAGAGAATGAATATCCTGGCAGTCCCAGTGCACTAAGCTTTTACTACAAAAGAGGTCTGGAAACACCGCAGGGACTGTCTTATTTCAATGAAGCCGAGGCAAAAGAGGTGTTTGAAGTTGCTCAGGAAATAGCCGCTTTCAGTGAAGACATAGCTGTTATTTCTCCTTTTCTGGCGCAGGTATATTCACATGTAATGTTGCAAAAAAAGTAAAGAATCCCCAAAGCTGTGCATGTCATAAATTCATCATCACTGTCTATCTGTCAATTTAATAATTGTTTTTACTTGAAGTACATGTGTCAGCATAGTCATTTTTGATAACTTACATTAATATTTATCCAAAATACATAACTCCTTTTATGTGTACATTACTCTTTTTATGTATCCTTAACTGTGACACCTTTTGTATATAAAGGATATGGCAGTAATAAATTTTTACCATTTCATTTCATTTCAGGTAAACCTTCTTGAGAAATACTTTGATGGTCTCCCGAAGCCAATAAGAGAAAAAGTGACCATTTTGTCTCCAGAATCAGTTCCAGGTGTGTTTGATACATTCATTCATTTATTTCTTGTTTTTTTAATCAGCAGCTAATACACAAGACAAGGTGTGCAGTTTTTCTTGATCAATATGATGTTTTTTATACATTTATTTAATAGATTTTTTTGGTTGAAATCTCTATCTACTGTATGGGCAAACTTAACTTCTGCCCCATTTTCTTAAAATTTTTGTCAGTTTTTGTCAGGTATATACCTCAGGTTAACAGTTTTTATGGACAGACACATATACATGTAGCCATCACCAGTACAGGTGTCAAACATCTGCACATGTGCAAAAAGTGTGCTCTTGGTAATAAACAATGGTTTTCCAACTCAAGCTGTATTTCAGACATAAAAATCTTTTCTGTAAGTTTGAGAATCATAAGTAACATGGTTTTCCCTTAGTGGTCAATATTGTAGCAGTGCCCAAAATAGTTTTTTTTTTTGTCAATTTTGATGCAATATTACATAATGCTTAATAATCACCACCATTTTTATTATGTGCTACAAAGAGTTTTAAAAATGTGACCACTAGTAAGCAAAGCTGGGTCTCTTGTTCATTGCATTTTGCAAAGCTCAAAAAGTGCAACACAGAAAGTGGTGTGTTTTTTCTTTTCTAAATCAAAAAGATTGTCACATTTTACCCTTGTCATTAATATCTAACATTAAGGCTTCATTCACATGGAAAGTCTATTTTTTAAAATCTATTTTCTATTTGCGGTATCTTATGATCACGGTCTGTGCCCTGAATATCCTGCAGCGTAATTACTGGCAGCGCGAGCCAGTTACTTATACAAAGCTGTAATTAATTCTCAGCTGTGCTCGCATTCTATAAAATCTCATCCTCCGTTGCCGCATCGCTTGCCATCGGATCATGATCACTTCCTACTGCGCATGTGTCAAGGTATCAGAATCTCCTCCGAGATGTGTGTGTCCCCTAGTGTACACGTGACACCTAGATCAAGATCACAAAATGAGCTTAGTCACTTTCTGACAGACAGGCTGAAGATGCTGCAGGAAAATGAAAACCAGATGTACCTGTTCCCTCTGAAAAGGCTCTCAGGAAAATCTTTTGACATCATACATTTTCTGTCAAATGCTTTTTATGATGGCAAGCTAGAAGTAGAGAATGAATATCCTGGCAGTCCCAGTGCACTAAGCTTTTACTACAAAAGAGGTCTGGAAACACCACAGGGACTTATACAAAGCTGTAATTAATTCTCGGCTGTGCTCGCATTCTATAAAATCTCATCCTCCGTTGCCGCATCACTTGCCATCGGATCATGATCACTTCCTACTGCGCATATGTCAAGGTATCAGAATCTCCTCGGAGCACAGCGGAGAATTAATTACAGCTTCGTATAAGTAACTGGCTCGCGCTGCCAGTAATTACGCCGTGGGATATTCAGGGCACAGACCGTGATCACAAGTCATACCGCGAATAGAAAATAGAATTTAGAAAATAGACTTTCCATGTGAATGAAGCCTAAATGTAAAATATTTCCCAATATATAAGAAAGTTACTACAGTCAGAAGTCTGACAAAAGGTCATATGTGTTGATTTTGAATTTGGTCAGATTTTAATTTGAATAGCCAAAATAAAGATATGAATTTAATATAAAAAATGTTTATTTCATGTGCAGGCACACAATTTGAAAGTACTCTGCTGAGTACTGTGAGAACCCCACGCTATGTGACAGGTCCAGTAGACTTTGGAAGTTTGGAAGAAAGAAAAACTTTGAACTCGGTGTTTGCCTGTGCACGCTTACACATTGTTGTGTTTGGAGATCCATTTCTTTTGTCAAAAGCAAACCAGAATGATGTTTGGAAACACTATTTTAGAATTTGTGATGAGAAAGGAACCCTTTCCCCAGAAGATCTATGTTTTGAGAAAATTGACAACTTGCAAATGTTTACCCAACCATGTGCAAAGTATAAGCCACCAGTGATAAAAGGCAAACGTAAAAAGCTATCTCATGATGGAATCTCTGCGGATAAAGGTGTTTTAAGTGACAGTGAAGGTGACTTTGGGGAAATTGGCACAGAGCCAGATTCCTTGGCTGAAAAGGTNTATCAACACTGGGCATATATGTAAAGCCACAGTGCTAAATTATGCTGACTATCTTGCTACAGGAACTCCAAGAAAAGCTCTGTATATAAGGATGTCTCAGAAATGTGCCACAAGGTTGAAACTTGAAGGAGATGTTGCCACTTTGAGGATGCACTTTGTTTTCAACACCACTCTCTTTGATTTGATGCACCATTCACTTGAAAGGACTCAGAACTGTTTGCTGTTTCCTGATTGGAATGTTCCCATGGCTGCTGTCCTTCCAGGAAAGTTAAGGTATACTTATAATGATGAGAACTCTACACTATTCCCTAATGTTTTCACTGTTAAGTTTTTGTAACATATATCTGTGATGATCATTTATAACTCAAACATGTAGCCTGAAATGAGTTTTCACCTATAATCTTCGAGGGCACATTCAGATTCACACATACTAGCTGGGTTGGTCTAATTCTGTGGGGAATTCTCCCTAAAGTGCAGTCAGTGGAATCAGCTTCAGTTGTCCCATTCTGACTGTAATTCTCACCTGAATATAAAAAGGCTGCTGCAAGCCTGGAAGAAGGTCATCATCTTCATAATCATATATATTTCCAGCATTGCACGTACATCCATGGTATCCAACTGATTTATTCATATCATGTATGGGGTTGAAAATTCTTATTATATATAAACTGTGGAAGATTATACTAGAATGAATGCATATAACAGCACTATTCAGTTGCTTTTACAGTGTTAGTACCAAAATACTGTCTCTATTCAGTGCAATATATGCTTCTCAAAAGACTTCATAATGTGTTCCTTTTTTATTTAAATAAATGTTATAATTTTATTTATCTTCATTTGAAAAAATGCTACAGGGATTTTTTTTTATTTTAGATGCAAGCCAAATGAGCTGTCAGAGGAGAAAAGGAAATGTATTGAACACATATTGTGTCAGGCTCCAGGGAACCAACACATATCACCTTTTGTTGTGACTGGACCTTCTGGATCAGGAAAGAGCTTTACCATACAGCAGGCCATAGCTCTCCTGGCCAAAGATATGAAGAGAAAGGTTCTCATATGCTGTAAAAAGTCAAGGTACTCTCAGCCTTTGAAATGTAATTATTATAGATATTTGCACCTGCAGTGATTTTGTAATAGATGTATACCAGAGGGTGAATTCTACTTATTTCTTTCTTAGATTACTAAGAGAGGCATGATTCCCTGTGCACTTGTATTGTTCACACTGAGCTATACTGTAATTAATAATGCACTATAAAAATTATAAGAACAAACACAAAAGATTAATAAAGATAATAATGATTATAAGTAACATAAAAATGATAATTTTATCACTTATAATTAGTTACATATTACCCAACTGTCCTAATGATCTTAAATACCTTAAATATTTCTTATAGTGATGTGGACGCATATGTCATGGATTTGGACAGAAGGATTAGTGATGGAATGCTTCCCTATACAAGTAGGCCTCTAAGGATACTAGGTCTGTCCTCCCCTGTCTGCCTACAACCTGAAGTAAAGCAGTACTGCAGTCAGCATCCCAGCCCAACTCAAAAAGAAGTAGATGAACACCGAATTATTGTTACAACACTGACAGCCTCTCTCTTGTTGAGGAAAGATGTCAACAAATTCCCTGCTTTTACCCATGTGATAATTGATGGCATGGACAAAGCAAATGAGACTGAGAGTATCATCCCACTGATGTATGCTGAATGTACGCAGACAATTGTTGTTTTGACTGTTGACCCCATGATGTGTGTGTCCCCTAGTGTACACGTGACACCTAGATCAACATCACAAAATGAGCTTAGTCACTTCCTGACAGACCGGCTGAAGATGCTGCAGGAAAATGAAAACCAGATGTACCTGTTCCCTCTGAGAAAGCTCTCAGGAAAATCTTTTGACATCATACATTTTCTGTCAAATGCATTTTATGATGGCAAGCTAGAAGTAGAGAATGAAAATCCTGGCAGTCCCAGTGCACTAAGCTTTTATTACAAAAGAGGTCTGGAAACACCACAGGGACTGTCTTATTTCAATGAAGCCGAGGCAAAAGAGGTGTTTGAAGTTGCTCAGGAAATAGCCGCTTTCAGTGAAGACATAGCTGTTATTTCTCCTTTTCTGGCGCAGGTATATTCACATGTAATGTTGCCAAAAAAGTAAAGAATCCCCAAAGCTGTGCATGTCATAAATTGCATTCATCACTGTCTATCTGTCAATTTAGTAATTGTTTTTACTTGAAGTACATGTGTCAGCATAGTCATTTTTGATAACTTACATTAATTTTTATCCAAAATACATAACTCCTTTTATGCGTACATTACTCTTTTTATGTATCCTTAACTGTGAAACCTTTTGTATAGAAAGGATATGGCAGTAATAAATTTTTACCATTTCATTTCAGGTAAACCTTCTTGAGAAATACTTTGATGGTCTGCCTAAGCCAATAAGAGAAAAAGTGACCATTTTGTCTCCAGAATCAGTTCCAGGTGTGTTTGATACATTCATTCATTTATTTCTTGTTTTTTTAATCAGCAGCTAATACACCCGACAAGGTGTGCAGTTTTTCTTGATCAATATGATGTTTTTATACATTTATTTAATAGATTTTTTTGGTTGAAATCTCTATCTACTGTATGGGCAAACTTAACTTCTGCCCCATTTTCTTAAAATTTTTGTCAGTTTTTGTCAGGTATATACCTCAGGTTAACAGTTTTATGGACAGACACATATACATGTAGCCATCACCAGTACAGGTGTCAAACATCTGCACATGTGCAAAAAGTGTGCTCTTGGTAATAAACAATGGTTTTCCAACTCAAGCTGTATTTCAGACATAAAAATCTTTTCTGTAAGTTTGAGAATCATAAGTAACATGGTTTTCCCTTAGTGGTCAATATTGTAGCAGTGCCCAAAATAGTTTTTTTTTTTGTCAATTTTGATGCAATATTACATAATGCTTCACAGCATAATCACCACCATTTTTATTATGTGCTACAAAGAGTTTTAAAAATGTGACCACTAGTAAGCAAAGCTGGGTCTCTTGTTCATTGCATTTTGCAAAGCTCAAAAAGTGCAACACAGAAAGTGGTGTGTTTTTTCTTTTCTAAATCAAAAAGATTGCCACATTTTACCCTTGTCATTAATATCTAACATTAAGGCTTCATTCACATGGAAAGTCTATTTTTTAAAATCTATTTTCTATTCGCGGTATCTTATGATCACGGTCTGTGCCCTGAATATCCCGCAGCGTAATTACTGGCAGCGCAAGCCAGTTACTTATACAAAGCTGTAATTAATCTTGGCTATGCTCGCATTCTATAAAATCTCATCCTCCTTTGCCGCATCGCTTGCCATCAGATCATGATCACTTCCTACTGCGCATGTGTCAAGGTATCAGAATCTCCTCCGAGATGTGTGTGTCTCCTAGTGTACACGTGACACCTAGATCAAGATCACAAAATGAGCTTAGTCACTTCCTGACAGACAGGCTGAAGATGCTGCAGGAAAATGAAAACCAGATGTACCTGTTCCCTCTGAAAAGGCTCTCAGGAAAATCTTTTGACATCATACATTTTCTGTCAAATGCTTTTTATGATGGCAAGCTAGAAGTAGAGAATGAATATCCTGGCAGTCCCAGTGCACTAAGCTTTTACTACAAAAGAGGTCTGGAAACACCACAGGGACTGTCTTATTTCAATGAAGCCGAGGCAAAAGAGGTGTTTGAAGTTGCTCAGGAAATAGCTGCTTTCAGTGAAGACAGCTGTTATTTCTCCTTTTCTGGTGCAGGTATATTCACATGTAATGTTGCAAAAAAAGTAAAGCAGCGTAATTACTGGCAGCGCGAGCCAGTTACTTATACAAAGCTGTAATTAATTCTCGGCTGTGCTCGCATTCTATAAAATCTCATCCTCTGTTGCCGCATCGCTTGCCATCGGATCATGATCACTTCCTACTGCGCATGTGTCAAGGTATCAGAATCTCCTCCGAGCACAGCAGAGAATTAATTACAGCTTCGTATAAGTAACTGGCTCGCGCTGCCAGTAATTACGCCGCGGTATATTCAGGGCACAGACCGTGATCACAAGTCATACCGCGAATAGAAAATAGAATTTAGAAAATAGACTTTCCATGTGAATGAAGCCTAAATGTAAAATATTTCCCAATATATAAGAAAGTTACTACAGTCAGAAGTCTGACAAAAGGTCATGTGTTGATTTTGAATTTGGTCAGATTTTAATTTGAATAGCCAAAATAAGGATATGAATTTAATATGAAAAATGTTTATTTCATGTGCAGGCACACAATTTGAAAGTGCTCTGCTGAGTACTGTGAGAACCCCACGCTATGTGACAGGTCCAGTAGACTTTGGAAGTTTGGAAGAAAGAAAAACTTTGAACTCTGTGTTTGCTTGTGCACGCTTACACATTGTTGTGTTTGGAGATCCATTTCTTTTGTCAAAAGCAAACCAGAATGGTGATGTTTGGAAACACTATTTTAGAATTTGTGATGAAAAAGGAACCCTTTCCCCAGAAGATCTATGTTTTGAGAAAATTGACAACTTGCAAATGTTTACCCAACTATGTGCAAAGTATAAGCCACCAGTGATAAAAGGCAAACGTAAAAAGCTATCTCATGATGGAATCTCTGCGGATAAAGGTGTTTTAAGTGACAGTGAAGGTGACTTTGGGGAAATTGGCGCAGAGCCAGATTCCTTGGCTGAAAAAGTTGTAAAAAACATGAAGGTCAATCTACAGAGGACAAAAAGTAAATTGAAAACACCACATCTTGATTTTAAACGAGATGATGAAAAGCCAACTTCAGGTAATGCCAATATCTTTGACAATCCAAATGACTGGAAAAAGGGTAGAAATCTGTATTGTGAAAGTGGTTTGGTTAATGAAATCATAGATGATGAGGATTTTCTAGATGAAACTTATCAGAATTATCTAGCTGATAAGTACATAGGAGACAAAGAACCATTTTATGAAGACCTCCCAAAAGAAGACCTGAGAAACAAATTGCAAGAATATCCAGAGCAGTTTAAGCAGTGCATTTTGTACCTTGAAACACCACAAAAAGCCTATGCTGTACCTATTGATCAAACAGAGACTATTCAGAGGATAGAGTTGTTTGGCAGAAACAAGTGTGGTATGGCTTTCAATGAATCTGAAGTTGTTGTTGAACTACTGAATCCACCAGAGGGTGCTGATGTGTACATTGGCAAAGTCATAGGTGTTTGGAGGCAAACTCAAGTGAGGAAGTATGCAAGATTTGCTTGTATTGCAGACCATTTTAGGGCTAACCTAATGCTGCCATTATGCAACACTTTTCCAAAGATTCACATTTACAACAAAGATGCTGAAAATGAAAATGAAGTTGCTATTTATAGCCTTGACAGCACAGGACAGCCAACTCATAAAGAAACTGAACTGTTGAATGTTCATAGTCGTGAGCATACAGTGTTTGTTGTTCGCTACCTGCAATGGGATCGATATCACTACTATCCACTTGGTGTTGTTGTTAAGAAGCTTGCTGTGTCAGAAGACTGGGAAAGCAGATTGGATATCTTAAAGATACAGTACAACTTAAGTGAAAAATTCCCTGCACAAGTGAATGATACCATCACAGCAATGTCCAATGAAGAGATCTTCAGTCAGCTTGAGGAGGACGAGGATGGAGGTGCTACCTTCACTATAGATCCTCCCAGAGCCAAAGATCTTGACGATGCATTGAGTGTAGAATATTTGGGAGGAAAAGACATAAGAATAGGTGTTCACATTGCTGATGTATCTTTGAAAGTGAAGAAGAATAAGGACAATTTACAAGAAAGAAATCCAATTGACACAGAAGCTGAAAAGAGGGGAGAAACATACTACCCATCCATTGAAGATCCACCTGTGCCAATGTTACCAGAGAAGCTGAGTGCTCATGCTTGCAGCCTGATTGCAGGCCGTGTGAGGCCTGTTATATCTGTTTTCTTTTATGCAGACAGAAAAAGTGGTGAACTGTATGCCGACAGGCCTACAGAAATAAGGAGAACAACAATCCGATCACAAAGACAGCTAACATATGAAGAAGCAAATGCGTACATCAGTTCTTCAGATGTCCCAGAAGAGGATAAAAAAATTGCAGTAGCTGTGAGACTGCTGTACAAAGTTGCCAAAAAACTTTCAGCAAAGAGACTTGGGGATGTTCTGCTGGGTAGCAAGGCAGAAAGTGNCAAATGTTTACCCAACTATGTGCAAAGTATAAGCCACCAGTGATAAAAGGCAAACGTAAAAAGCTATCTCATGATGGAATCTCTGCGGATAAAGGTGTTTTAAGTGACAGTGAAGGTGACTTTGGGGAAATTGGCGCAGAGCCAGATTCCTTGGCTGAAAAGGTTGTAAAAAACATGAAGGTCAATCTACAGAGGACAAAAAGTAAATTGAAAACACCACATCTTGATTTTAAACGAGATGATGAAAAGCCAACTTCAGGTAATGCCAATATCTTTGACAATCCAAATGACTGGAAAAAGGGTAGAAATCTGTATTGTGAAAGTGGTTTGGTTAATGAAATCATAGATGATGAGGATTTTCTAGATGAAACTTATCAGAATTATCTAGCTGATAAGTACATAGGAGACAAAGAACCATTTTATGAAGACCTCCCAAAAGAAGACCTGAGAAACAAATTGCAAGAATATCCAGAGCAGTTTAAGCAGTGCATTTTGTACCTTGAAACACCACAAAAAGCCTATGCTGTACCTATTGATCAAACAGAGACTATTCAGAGGATAGAGTTGTTTGGCAGAAACAAGTGTGGTATGGCTTTCAATGAATCTGAAGTTGTTGTTGAACTACTGAATCCACCAGAGGGTGCTGATGTGTACATTGGCAAAGTCATAGGTGTTTGGAGGCAAACTCAAGTGAGGAAGTATGCAAGATTTGCTTGTATTGCAGACCATTTTAGGGCTAACCTAATGCTGCCATTATGCAACACTTTTCCAAAGATTCACATTTACAACAAAGATGCTGAAAATGAAAATGAAGTTGCTATTTATAGCCTTGACAGCACAGGACAGCCAACTCATAAAGAAACTGAACTGTTGAATGTTCATAGTCGTGAGCATACAGTGTTTGTTGTTCGCTACCTGCAATGGGATCGATATCACTACTATCCACTTGGTGTTGTTGTTAAGAAGCTTGCTGTGTCAGAAGACTGGGAAAGCAGATTGGATATCTTAAAGATACAGTACAACTTAAGTGAAAAATTCCCTGCACAAGTGAATGATACCATCACAGCAATGTCCAATGAAGAGATCTTCAGTCAGCTTGAGGAGGACGAGGATGGAGGTGCTACCTTCACTATAGATCCTCCCAGAGCCAAAGATCTTGACGATGCATTGAGTGTAGAATATTTGGGAGGAAAAGACATAAGAATAGGTGTTCACATTGCTGATGTATCTTTGAAAGTGAAGAAGAATAAGGACAATTTACAAGAAAGAAATCCAATTGACACAGAAGCTGAAAAGAGGGGAGAAACATACTACCCATCCATTGAAGATCCACCTGTGCCAATGTTACCAGAGAAGCTGAGTGCTCATGCTTGCAGCCTGATTGCAGGCCGTGTGAGGCCTGTTATATCTGTTTTCTTTTATGCAGACAGAAAAAGTGGTGAACTGTATGCCGACAGGCCTACAGAAATAAGGAGAACAACAATCCGATCACAAAGACAGCTAACATATGAAGAAGCAAATGCGTACATCAGTTCTTCAGATGTCCCAGAAGAGGATAAAAAAATTGCAGTAGCTGTGAGACTGCTGTACAAAGTTGCCAAAAAACTTTCAGCAAAGAGACTTGGGGATGTTCTGCTGGGTAGCAAGGCAGAAAGTGCTGTCGAAGAATTCATGTTACTAACTAATAAAACAGTTGCAAAGGAATTGCTCAGAAAGTACCGAATGCATGTTCCCTTGAGAGTTCAGCCCTCACCCAACTCTTCACAGTTGGAAATGTGGAAAGATTCATTTGCAGAGATTGCCATGCATTCCAGTAAACCAGGACAATGGCTTAGAAGAGTATATCCTGACTTTGAAGACCCTAAAAATCTACGCTATATGCCAATTCGTCAGAGCACCTGGGAAGAAGCTCATCTCAAAGCAGTGAACCCAGATTGTCATTTTGAAACTCTAAGACGCCTTTTTGCCTATGAGGAGCTTCATCCTCTGCAGTGCAGCACATTTACAGCTTGGATAGCAATTCAAAGAAAAGCCAAAATGGTTTGCTCTGGAAGTATACCTGATGATGAAATGGCACATTTTGATTTAGAATTTTCAGAGTACACAAGGTTCACATCTCCTATCCGACGATACATTGATATTGTTGTCCATCGTTTGGTAGTTGCAATGCTTGAGGATCAGGAAAAGCCACCATACACTCAAGAGGAGATACAAGAAATATGTGATAGAGCAAATAGCAGTGCTCTTAAAGCAAAGCAATTTGATAGAAGCTGCAAAATGCTTAAATTTTCTTTGATGCTGAAAGAAAACAAATTTATGTCCATCCTCCCAGTCGTGACAAGAATTGATGGTAGAAGCATACAACTCACAACTCCCGGGCTGCAATTTGTGTCACCAAGTTTAATGCAGCTACCATATAACCACCTTGGGGTATGTGAAAGACCAAGTGTCCCTCATCAAGTTGTTGAGGACAATATGTGCACTTCCAAGGAAGTTTCTTTGATCTGGAACAAGAAAATATTTGACATAGATTCAAAGGTGAAGGCATCTTCCAAGAAGCGGTTTGATAAGGATAAGGTTCTTCACTTCAATCCAAATCAATTCATTTTTAATGTGCCAATTTCTTTGTGGGACCAGATTCTTAAAGCTACCAAAAGAGAAGACAAAATGTTGATCAGTTTTGTGAAAAACTGTGACAAAAATGTAAGATCTTTCAAAGAAAACCACAGAGGAAGTCTAGCTCATTATGTGGACAATGCAAGTGCAGAAATGTTTCATGGAAAGGAAAACAAAGTCATTTCACAACAAATCAAATTTCAAATTGACCTGAACCCAGGAAGTGTAGTCCAAGTTTTGCTTAGCTCAAAACTGAAACGTGGCATTCTTCAACCCCACTTGGCAGCTTTTAGTCTGTCTGAGCATGTTCACCTTTGTATGCAACATCGTGCAGATCCTGTTGATGCATTCTGCAAACTGTCAACTGCTCGTCATCTGGAGGAAACATACAAAAATGTGAAAGCCTATCAAGATACTCTGCTCTCTCTACTTCAGCTTGAAGCAGCTGTAAGTGCTGTTACAAATGATCAATCAGTCAGTATCCAGAATGTTAGAGTGCAATGGATTAAGAGAGAAAATATCTATTTTGGAAAATTCAAGATGGGGCACACTTTCTGTGAAGACAGGCACATACGTCTCAACCTTCAAGATGATTCATCAGAGGATTTTCTTGAGAGTAAGTTGCGGGACACCAAGCAATACTTTGACTATCTGTGTATTATGTATCCACAGCTACCTGCAGAGTATCCCATTGAGAGTGACAGTGCCAAGTTTGTTCTAGCCAGTGTGAAGTCCAAAGCAGCAATGTGGATTGCTCATGGTTTGGTATTACATGTTGAACAGAAAGGAGCCTTGACTGTATATTTCAAGTTAAAAGGGAATGATGTGCCTGCTGTGATATTTGAGAGAAGTCAAGACAAAAACACTGCTCTGCCATGCATTGTGGAGATCATCTCAAAAACTTTGCCAGATAGGTATGTTTTATCAAGTTGTAGACTGAAATCTTCACATAGAAAAATAATAAGATGCTCATTACCTATGAAACCTGTGTTCAATTAGCTTAAGTAGTGAATCCAAAAATTAAGTCTAATTTAATCCTTTGTGTAAAGAAGATGTCATAGAGGGAAAATAACAAAATGGCAGTTGAAATTAAAAAGTAATATATTACAGATCTGAACTTGATGTATGTGATATGTTGCTCTTTGTTTTTATGTTGTACCAGACGAATGGAGTGGGCAGTGAGGGAACTTTCAGATACACAACATGGACAGCTGCCACAAAAGATAGCACTGGGAAATACTGACCTGATGGGGAATTTAGAAGGCAGAAGTATGTACTCAAGAAAATACACATGCATTTTTTATATGATGCATGATGACCTACTCAGTATCCTTAAAAGTTTAAATTGTGTACATTTTCACTTCACTATGGTAATTGATTGAAATTGAAGAACAATCTTTTTTTTTAATATACAGCATGAATTAATTTACAGAAACATCCTATCTAAAATAGGATCAATACCAACTTGGACAAGGTGATATTTACCACGTCACCTGCTCATTCAACCTACGTATTGCATGATGTTATATGATGCTAATATCTGCCTTTTCTATTGCTTGTAATGACAAACAATTTTTTTCATTTGAATGTTTTCTGGGATGGGTCTCTTTTTGTCTTCATTCTCCTTTTTTCATTTTATTATTTTAATAATTCTGTTAATTCATGAATATCAATTTTTGAAACTGGAATAGTTGTATATTTTATTAATGGCATACATTTTTTTACTTTTAAAAGGTAAAGAAGAAGTTGAAAGCTTTTTTCTAAAGCATGAAATAGATCCTGAAGCAGAAGAAGAGCGTCTTGCATGGAAAGAAGCAGAAGATGAGAGAATAGAGAAAATGAAACAAAAGTATGGAGTGGAGGTTAAACGACGTGCGATCAACACAATGAAGAACAGGGACCAGAGAATTGCGCCTTACCTGGAAAACTATCTTCCAAAAGCAAATCCGAGACAAAAGGATGCTTGCAAAGAGGCTCTACTTAAGCCATTTGCCTTGATTCAAGGTCCACCTGGTGAGACTTTTAGACACAAAATTGGATAAATGTGACATTTATATAGTCTCATCTCAGCCTTCATAACACTATCTTTTTGTTATGTTGTAAGATAAAAAATAAACTCTTTTACTGATAAAAGTATGCTGAAAATTAAAAGACATGAAATTAAAGGTATGAAATAAGATACAGAACTGAGGTATTAGTTTGCTTTGGGTAAATGATACTGATTCAAGAATTCTTATTGCTTCAGGCACTGGGAAGTCTTTGACTGGTATTCGCCTCGTGTACCTTTTTGTTCAGTGGAACAGGGAGAAATTTGGAAGAAAATCTCCTAAACAAATTCTGTATTGTGGACCATCTAATAAATCAGTGGATGTGGTCACAGGTAATAGATGCATAATATTTTGGTTTAAACATTTTTTTATCCTAGAAAATACAATTTAGGACTTGATGCTAAATTCATACATCATAATTAATTCAAGTTCAATCATTTTCTAGATTTTCTGAAGAGAAAATTTGATCCAAAATCTGTCAACGCCAAAGACAAGAGGCCCTCTATATGCCCCAGAATACTCAGAGTGTATGGTGACAGCATAGTTCTTCATGACTACCCTGTGCCAAAACAGTCTTTATCGTGGACAGAAAAAGAGGTAGTTTCTACATCTGCCCACAAAGATGTGGCTCTTCATCACATCATCAGGAAGAAAGGAAAGCCTAATGCCACCCGGCTACTCAAGTTCGATGCAGACTTCAAAAAGTTCTTTGAGGACCCAGTTAAGTATGATGTTTCAGATGAAGATTTAGATAAATACAGAAAGCTGGTTGCTAAGGCAGAAGAAGAAGAGATCCGTTCTCATGATGTCATCCTATGCACATGCACCACAAGTGGAACTCCTAAAATAACAGGGGTCAGCAGCTTTGAGCAGTGTATTGTAGATGAAAGTGGAATGTGTGTAGAAGCAGAGAGCCTGATACCTATTGTCTCATCAAAAGCCAAGCAGGTTATTCTGATTGGTGACCACAAACAACTGAGGCCTATCATCAAGAACAACACTGCTAGTGAATTTGGCCTTGCAAAGTCCCTGTTTGAACGCTATGCATCTTTTGCAGACAATGGACCCGCCAAAGTTATGCTTGATTTTCAGTACAGAATGGTAGGTTTTTAGTTGAATTTAAGCATGTCCCAATGAATACTCCCGAGTTGATAGTTTTTTTTTTTTTTTTTTTTTTTTTTTTTTTTTTTTTTCAGCTAAAGTAGAAGCAGTACAAAATGCAGTTTGCATTACCAGACATGGACATTTATTGTAACTACGATAACTGGGCAGCAATGTTGCCATTTTACTCATTGTCCTAAAATGTTGAACAAATTTACAAATATAGTGATTTTTTTCAATAACTAAGGACTTGTAATCACTAACTGTATCAAATATATGGTTATAAGCTAAAAACTCCTGGGGTTACTTGTGGGTAAAAAATCTAAATACTTCCTTTTTGTGGTAAATTTTTTCTTGTTTTTATCCACAGGTTTTAAAGTGCTTTTCACCTTCCTGAAATGCCAATCATTTTTCAATTATCAGCAATATTTGGCATGCATACGCAATTTTTATAAGAGGTTTCATCATACAGCCATAATTTTTATTTAATGGTAGCATATCTTGTGCATATTACAAATGTATAAGTGAAACTTCATACAATTTTAGTTTTTATGGATATCTTGAATTACAATTGAATGTGACAGATAGTCAGAAATGAACCACATACTGGTTGTATGTTCTGTTTATTTCTTGATTATAGAAATATTGCCAAAAAAAATTTAAAAACATGCATCAAGTACTGTACATTATTGATGACACTTTGCTATCAAATGCTACACTAATACCAGTCTCAGTAGAGAGTACCAGAGGAGACAGGATTGTGCCGGAAGTGTGACGTCATGTGACGTCAAGTGGTGTAAGACGCTGAGTGGTCATTTTTAGCTGGAGGTGAACGGGAGTGAAGATGTGGGCTCAGAGAAAAAAGCAGTTTTGCCAATAACATAGTGAGATAACATTTTTTCTCTTGGTATTTTAGGCAGAAAATACTAGATGAAATAATAGGTACATGATATGAAAACATGTTACAATACTTGAAGGTGCAAAATCATGCTTAATTTATAGTTATTTTGTTTTGAAAGATATGCTGCATCGACCAACAGCGCAATAAAGAGTGTCATGGGAAAAGAATTCCCAAGAGGTTGTGAATCTTTGTCATGTGGAATTTTTGCATTTATGTAATCTGATATGCCCATATCTAATCATTTTTGGGTGATTTATGGTATGTGCCGCAATTATAACGATGTTTTAGAGTCCTTGAAGGACCTTGTGAAAACCAGGAAGTAGTTTGCAACTGACAACTGAAGCGCACCGAACCACGATTGCTGTGCTTTTTTAAAGATTTTGACAAGTTTTTAGATGACTAGTCGGCTTCACGTCTTAAACCACTACAGGTCACTTCCAGCACAATCCTGTCTCCTCCAGTACCCTCTATTCTAGGAAGAAATTAAATGAATACAATAAGGTCCACTCTTACTGAAAGATTTTATGTGATCTTATTGTATACCTTCAGCACCCAGATATCTGTCATTTTCCATCATGGGAATTTTATGACGGAGAACTGAAGGATGGGAAGGCGCTTAGTTTCACAGAAGAGTCAGCCTTGAAAGATTATTCCAACTTAGCTAAAGGTCTGTGGTATCAAACCAAGGGATATAAATTCCTTCATATTGAAGGAAAACAAGAGATTGTCACCATGCCAAAGACCAATATTCCATCTAAGCAGAATATGGATGAAGTACAAGAAGTTGTGAGTATTTAATCATTATAAACTTCTGTTCATGCAGTAATTATGTAGAAAAATACATTTGTGATGGGCATTAACAGTTTTTGCACCTAATTCATTACCAAGGTAAGCTCAATCTAATGGATAGAATGTTAGCCAGATAACTTTTTATCTGCTGTTGAAATAATAACAGTAAACTAGCAGCCATTCTTTCTATAGTCCACTGCATTTACAACAGTAATTGATACAAAATGTTGTACACTTCAAGGGGTGGATATATGATATTCTCACCAGCAGAGATGGATTAAAAATACCTCCAACAAACATCATGATCCTGACCCAGTACCCTGCTCAGGCCATGGCCATTCAGGAGATGATTAGGAAACTTGAAAATGAAAACGTCAGACATGTTGCTGACAATCAGAAGAAAGAGAATCCTGAAAATGTCAAACTTGTTGCTGATATTCAAAGTAAATTGAGGTTTTTGGAATGTTTTGAAGTTAAAGCATGTAGTAGTTCTGTGATGATTGCTCAATTTTCTACCAAACTGGTGGTATAAAAGTACATGTACCAGTGAATAATGAATCATTATTATGTAAAAGCTATTTTTTAGTATGTACAAAATGAGCAATGCTTTGGAATGACAAATGGTTTGGAACCATAATACTATGTCTCCTTTTGACTGACTCTGAGGTTAACCATTTTATGTTGATTTTTTTCATATTTTAAGAACCTGAAATGCTGCATATGAAGTGGGACATTGTCATCTTCTCAGCTGTGTGCTCTCTTCCTGAAGATGAGATTGATCAGTTTCGGTTAGATGCAGACTGGCGAAAAAAACAGCTTGGACTTCCTCATGTTGTGAAGGAGCAAATATGTGATGTGGCATATAGAAGAGCAAGGAAGAAGATAATTATGATAGGTTGTTGATTTTGAAACTGTGCTTCATTTGATAAAAATTTGAAGGCTGGATGCATGGTTGAAGTGTGACAGTTACAAGTGTTAAGCAACTACATGCACATAAAAGAAATTACGTACTTCAATTTTTTTCTTTGTTGACACATAGCCTGTTTAGAACACATTTAAAATAGTTTTAGGTATAATTATTTTGATAAATTCATTCAGATTAAGTCATTACCGTGCTTAGATTATTTTGTGATCAGACACTGTGTCTGGATATTTAGCAGTTATATGTACCAGTGTCTTTAAATTGCTTGCCTTTTTAACACCAGAGAAGGAAAAACAGAGTACTTTTTTTAACCTTACAAAAACAATTCCTATGACCATATAAAGCTGGATATGAAAAAAAACAGCCTAATTGTATTATTGAATTCACAATAATAATAGTATATGATAAAAAATTGATGACATGATTATGTCATGTTGCATCAAGATTGACAAAAAAAGCTTATTTTGTGCACTCTAATACCCCCATCACACTAGAGGTGGAATGACAATTCTTTGTGCGCTCCTGGATATTCAAAGAGCATTCTAAAAATTCCGAGTGCATTCTAAATATTTTTACCCATTCTTGTGGCATCCCGAATGTTTTTGTCGAAGTGCATTCCAACTGGAAATTTATTGAATGGCATTTGAACAGTATTCTAACTGCACTATGACTGCATTCTAAATATTCTCACGGCATTTCGACAGCATTCAAAACATTCTGATCACATTAGAGGAATATTCGAACTGACAAGTGACTTAAAGCCCCCGTCAAACTTATTCGAAATAAGTAGGAATCAAGCCAGAATTACTAAATTAATATCCCTACAGTACCAGAATAAGGTACAAATTATTCTGGAGGGAATTTCAAATTATCATAAAATATTACGACTTTGTAAGAATGCCTCTGGAATACTGAGAATGCACATCGAACCCGCCTGGAATGATTCTTGCACATTCCAGGTATTTTACCTTTCAATTGCGTCTCGAATGTAGTTGGAATACTGTAGGGATATTGCGATAAATTTCCTCTTGGAATGCATTTCGAAAGTTTTCGACATGACAAAAACATTCGAGCCGGCCACAAGAATGGGTAAAAATATTTGGAATGCACTCAGAATTTTTATAATGTTTTTAGAATACTCTTCTAATATCCTGGAATGCACAAAGAATTGTATTTCAGATGCCATTCTTAATCATTCTGCCTCTAGTGTGATAGGCATTTTATATCCCGCCAGAATGTTTCGAATGTTCGGATGAGCTGAAATATTAATGTTGCCAGCAATCGAACTACACAAGGGCGCCATTCAAAGTATATTCTAAATATTCTTACTGCCTTCTTACAGCATTATAAATATTCCTAGTTTGCCAATTACATTCCAACTGCTTTTGAGAGCTAATGCAGTCGAAAGTGCACTCATCATTCCAGGCAAATTCAAGCGCATTCTGAGTATTCTAACGGTACTCTTATAATAATTAAGGTCAATTTGAAATTTTCCCCAAATGTGGTGCGAATTTTAAAATTCTTCATTCAGGCTCATTCTTCTTCATTCCTGCTGATTCCGAATAAGTGTGACGGGGGTATAAACAAAACACACACACACGCACAAAAAACTTGTGCTATTTTTTCTCAAACTGAATAAAAGTTTCATAAGACTAACTTAAGATACAGTTCATATCTGAATTAAAACAGCCATTGTGGATTATTTTTCTAGGTTTGTTACTCTTTCAATAATTTTGGCCCTGTATGCTTGGCATCAGAGCCAAAAATGTGTATGTAGCTGTATTTTATATTTTGTCAGTCTTCCATATTTACACTAGTGCTGTTCAAGATTGTTCCTTCATATGTCAGGTTTAGCTGGCTTGATTTTAGTGTCACACTGAACTGTTTTCTACTACTTGACAGGAAACAAGACTTTGCTGAAGTGTGACAAAACATGGAGGAGGATTCTTCAGATTTATGAGAAGGAAAGATGTGTCATGAGTGCAAACGACTTCCTTTCTCGTGGTGTTAAAGATAAACGATTTTGGTTGGAGACAAGAAGATACAAATTTCTCCATTTGGAAGGAGAGGAGGAAAGTTTAGTTATTTCAACCAATGAAGGGAGCGAAATGTCAAAAAAGAATATGAAGGAAGTTGAAGAAGTGGTAAGTCCATAAATGAAATAGAACTTGTATTCATTACATTCATTTCTCATATGAACATCAGATGCAGTATAATTGATGCTTTTAATCACAACTGTGATGCTTTTTGAATATTTTCCTATGTAGGAGGAGAGAAATTACTATATATCAATTAATTACTAAAATAACTTGGCCAATTCTTCTCATTTGCGGTAGTTATCATTTTTGTGAATAGTATTGTAATCAATATTTTCTCTTTTATCAGGTTAGAATATTTGACATTCTCACCAGCAAAACTGGCCTGAATGTCCCTCCCTCAACCATCATGATTCTTAGTCAGTATCGTGCACAAGTCAATGCTATCCGGAGCAAACTGGAAGGGAGAAACGCTAACGTTAGCACAGTGGTTGCTAGTCAAGGTCCTGTCTGTTCATTGGCTTGACACATTAAGAAAAGTATCATCTTTTAAAAAATTATTGTTGCATTTTTTAAAATTGCATTAGTATTTTGATTCTGTTTTATTTTAAGAATTTGCTGTTCATTTTCTAATACTGATATAACAATACAGTAACACCGAGGAATTTGAAGCATTTACTGACATTCTTTTTTGTAATGAAACCCTCATTGGAAGAATGCCTTTTTACAGGAGGAGAGTGGGACATTGTGATATTCACCACTGTGTGCTCAATCCCAGAATATGAGATAATTGACAAGTCAAATATTGGCTGGCTTAAACGGAATTTGGGATTTATAGTGGATGCTCACCAGATAAATGTAGCTCTAACGAGAGCCAGAAAATGCCTGATTATCATAGGTAAAATATGAACTTATATAAGCCTTACGGAAGTATGTTATGTTATTAGGGATTATGAAATTAAGGGTTTGTACTAGGGCTGATTTAATTATATGTGTATAGCTACTGGATTTTGAAGTAGAACTGATGAAATTTGCTTTTTTTTTTCTTTTTCCTTTTCTACTAAAATTGTGGTTTCATTTGTATTATGTTGACTTGTTTCAGGGAACCAAAAGTTGCTGAAATGTGATAAAGTATGGGATAATCTCCTACGGCAGTACCAGAAATGGGGGTGTGTGATGAATGCAGAGGAGTTTCTTCCTAAAGGAATCAAAAGTAACTACACATTTTCAAGGGTCAAGCACAATTATTTAAATCTGTGGATTTTGTAAATCTTCAAAAGCATGTATTTCACCTTAGATTTTATTAAACCAAAAACTGAATTTATCTGGAAATTAATTTTCCCTTAGTCACCAAGATACACCCTATTCAAAACCATTCAATCCAGAAAATTACTATTGATAAAGTAATATTAAAGCTCGTAATTTCTGATTTTAACAATGATTATTACTCATCTCCACTTTGAGGCTTGCTTTAAAATAACAAAATTAAAACTCAAAAACAAGATTACATATGAATTACATTTGTCATTTGTGATAATGGGAGTGTCAAAATTTCCAGGAAAATTAAATAGTTCAATATAAAGGTTCAATGCTTACTGTGTTACTTGAAAAAAATGCTTTGGATTAAACAAAACGTAACAACCTTATACTGTTATGCAGTCTGGTCAATCCCAGCCTGTAAGCTATACTAATTTCAGCCAATGAAAACCTAAAAGCTTACATTTCCAGGCACCTTTTTCTACCATGATCTACCACCAAGGTTTAAAAAGAAGCTGCTTGAAGGAGATTATTACAAAGATGAACCAGATGAGGACTTTGATGAAAACTTTGATGAACCGATCTATGATGAAGCATAAGGTGTGCAATAACAAGTGTCTCAATATGACTCAAAGACAGTGGTGAAAATGGAACCCGTTAAAAAGATCAGAAACAGTTTTTCAGTGGATTTCTTTTAGTGATATTATTTTTTATTAAGATGTAAAAAAATTTGAAGGGCACAAGTATCAAAAGTTATTTGTATTTTTAGAAAAATAAGAGAAAAATCTGTAAGATCAATTAAGGGAGACAGTTTTCTATATTTGTCACTTTATACTAAGTAAGTGTACATATGGGATTGTACATTAAATTTGTATTCTTAGTACCTCCCCATTTTTATAACATCTTTATCCATGTTCATGGAAGTCATTCAGATATTTAAAGTCAAAAGGTGTCAAATGGAATGCTTTAATTCTAGCATTATTGTTTTTCAAAGTAAATTTAAGGTAACTATTTGCAATATGACCAATTTCAAAAAATCTTAAATTAGATTTTATATTTGTAAATAATGGCATGTTGCCTGAATTTAAGTATTTTGTAAGGGAAAATTTCTGTTTTGTTTAAAAATAATTTTGTCAGTCTTTTTTAGATTTTTTAACCTTACAATTTTCAATGCATATGTTTTATACATGTATACCAAAGTTTGTCAAGTTAATTATTAAGTTCACACCAATTTTACAATTTGACTTGATTCCTTTGAACAAATTCCTACTTAATACATTCCAATTCATGATCAACTGAACAAAATCATTTTTTTTTTCATCCCAAAGTTTTTAAAGACCTTTTTTATATATGCTTTTTCACTAGAATAGCAAACTTTAAGGCATATGACCATTGCGTACACATGATTAAGTGGTCATGTAAAATCTTTTCTACTTGAAATCTTATCTACTTAAATTTTTTTTATTACTTAATGATTGACAAACGTTAAATTTCATTTATTCATTTATTTTGCTTGTTTGTAAAGTTGAAAACAAGGTGCATTTTACAGCTGTCTGTGAACAACTTATGAAGACACAAGAATAAATTGAAATCTGTACATAAAACTCAACCCCAAGATTTGTTTTGTGATACCACTTTCTTTAGCAATATAAATTTCAATGTAAATACATCAACTTATTGTCACTATTTAAAGAATGTCTTTCTTCAAACCAATTTGAAATTTATATATTATGTGATGTCTAACACACTGGTATTGACTATTAGTTTAGTCCTGTACCATATTCCACTGCTGGCTGCTACACAGAACCTGATTCTCCTTTTTTTCTTTTCTGCCTGATCCCATAGTGATAACAGTTGAATATTCCCAAGCAATAATGCCTCAAGTTTTTGTTTTAACTCATCAAATGCTTTCTTTCAACTGCAAGGGAGTAACAACAGCTGTATAATAAAACAATGTCATAATTTCTTGCTTTCACCCCTCCTCCCAGATAAGTCATTTGCATGCTTTCCAGTCCCTATAACTGCCTCTCAAATGTTTAATACCAGTATGTTTTTGCTCTCTTTCTCTTCTCTTCTATACCCATGTTTTCCATGAGTTCTTCTTCAAAATATTTAAGTGATGGTTTATAAGTTATTTTCATCAAATCAGAATTCTTTGTATCTTTGTCAGGTGATTCTAAAATTGAAAAAGAAGTAAATAAGTTGATTTTTCTTTACACACTATTAATACCCCCCCCCCCCCATACTACATTTAACACTAATTTTATGTAAAATGTTCACAACCAATCAAATGTCTATAGATGATATACAGATCGGTTTTGACTGTGGCTGATGCAATATAAGTTGTAGCATATGGGTGTTAAAATGCCTGCTTAGGACTCGTCTGAATTTACATAATATACTTAATAATTTGAAGATGGGCACATACCAATTTGTTTATAATGTACATATTAATAAATAGTTTTTCTAACACCTTTCTCAGAGAGTAAGACTGAGTTCCCATCGATCTGACAGGATCGGTCCATCTCCACGGGGTTTCTCGCTAAATTGCTTTCAGCTTAAGTGGCTCAGATGTCTGGGACGCCTACTAAAGCTGCTAAACGATTGTTAATTACCTCTTATCAGCTTCAGTAGGCGTGACAGACATCTAAGCTGCTCAAATAAATTGCAATTAAGCGAGAATCCCCTTGGAGATTGTTTGATCCAAAGTTAGTACGATAGGGTCTGGGAATGGTCTCTAAAACACTGCAATGGTAATGTACTGCATACTTACCAGCATACTGACTGGGTATAACAAAGTCTTCCAATTGCTGAGCTCCTGATGGTAGTGGTATTACCCTCCCTGACCTGCTGGACACCCTGACCTCATTGCCTTCCTCATCATAGCGCCATTCAAAGTCTGTCGGCTGCCTGGAGTGACAGATTATGCAAATAACATGGCATGTATTATGACAAGATATGTTTCCTTTCACCAAATAAATAAATAAAACTATTCTTGCATACTCATTCATTTTTTTAAAAGAAAAAAAAACATTTTACAAACTGATATTTAACTTGGGAGGCTAAAAAGATTAATCTATGCTTATAAAAAATCTAAAATAAGTCTATCAATAAAATTATATTAAAACTGATTCTTTGTCTAAATTTTCTGCTCCTTTATGTAAAAATAGTGGGACCAGTCATTGATCTATTACCATTGTTTACAAAGGTCAGAAAGGTCAAAAACTCATTAAAAATAAAACGAAGATAAATTAGAAATTGGGCTGCCAACACTTGCATGTCTGAGGGGTCAACAAGTTTCACATGTTCTGTAACCAACAGTGGCTGCTCTTCACGAGTGAGTTCAGGTGGATCAGAAGCGTCATCCGACAACTGGTTTTCCACAAATTTCTGTAAAATAAAAAGGTAGTATGCCTGTCAAAGGGCAGAAGTATCTATATAATAAGAGAGTAGAGGCCCATCTTTGGTCCTGCTAATCTTGGCTGCAGTGAATACCTGTGCTAGGCCATCGTGCACAAATGATCCATTTACTCATGACAGTGTCAAAGAAGTGTCACATCCATTTTACTGCTTTCTGAACCTCTATTTGCAAGTGGACACCATTCGGTGGGAGGTGTTCACTGAAGAGTCGCTGACAGCAAAATTACCAGCGAAGTACCTATTTTTAGTGTGTAAGCATGAAATGTTTATGTACAGCAGATGGCACAGCGGAACATGGTCTAAGAGCACCCTAAGCTTCAGAGATTACTTAAAAAACAAACCTCTACATTACAGCACACCTCTACTGTTTCAAGTTACAGCAGAGCAATGATATAATGTTCAGGTTTATTTCAAGTTCTCTCTTAAGCTCAAGGTGACACCCCAATACTCCGACAGCATTTTTGTCGAGCACCTGCTCATTTAACTGGGGGCTGGACCAAACTGACACATTGTTGTACGACTGTCTGATGATCTATTACAGACTTTTGGATAGTTTTAAATAGAGCTTTATTTGTAACATAATGCTAGGAATCATTTCAGTAAATTAATCTTAATAACTGTTTGATTGTAAGCACCATTTCAAAATCTGTCAATAAATAAATTTAATCTGATACATGTACAACTAACGGGGTTCAAACGATTAAACATGGCATATACATGTGTACACGATGGTTATCAATCATAAAAATCTTCATAAGACAGTGAATTCACTTTTTTTTTTTCAAATTGAAAAGTCCCTGGTAACATACACATATGTATGTATATGTATATATACTTACACAGTTGAGACCTTCCACAAAGACCCAGTTGCGTTCTGGCCACACACTATTTACAATGCCAATTTTTCCAGCATCTTTTCCTTCCAGTACATAAACCTGCCAAGAAAGGGTAGCATCTTAATGCACTGCAAAATCACAGGGATTCAAGTATTTGAAAATGAATTAAAGTCAGTCATACATAAGCTAATTACAAGCTGAAATGTCAGACATAAGGTAATGGGTCTCAGAAAATCACACGTAATTGTCCCTATTGTAAAACCTTTGCAGCACTGCAACACAAAAGTAGGCCAATTGCTCATTTGGACAAAATATTGATATTTAATATATTTAAAAAAAAAATATATATATATATATATGACAGTCTATGTAAAAATATATATGATGTAACAGGGCAAGAACTAAGTCATATTCATATTGTAGTAAAACGATGTCAACAATGTGAGGAAAAGGTGTCAACCTGCAGCTATCTTGAACTCAGATGCAAAAGAGTGATAAATACAGATGTCACAGGGATGACTATATTTTTGCTCAGGGAATTCTCAATATTTCAATAACAATAAACAGAAAATACCATAACTATAGCTATACTGTGTACCTGTGCTTGAATGCCTACTTATTTGCAAATTAAGGATTGATATATACTTCATAGCTCTATGTATTTTCCAACAAGATCGATGTCAGACTATAAATAATGTGTTTAACTGTATGTGAAACTAATACAGCACTATTAAATCTAAATTTATGAGTGCCTGTACATCCTCCACTACAGCATTTTAGTCTGTTACAATTATCATTTATTTTATTATCCGGGGAGGTAAAATACACTTTATTTTGAATATAGCAATCAATATTTTTTACATATGATCACCCTGAACCATAAAAAAAAACAGCTTACAAAGATTTATAAAATTTTCATCAACTGCACATTACACAGGTCAACCTAATACAGGTGTAAGAATTCACATGCAGGTAAGTAGGTCAAGGGAAAGGACCACTGTATTTCACACATGACCTACATATGAACCAGCTCAGCATGTTTACCCAGCACACAATACACTAGTGCATAGCAATGCTTTTTCACTTTACTTCGGCCTGAGTGCAGCAATCAATACACAGACTATGCGTATAACCGTAAAGCTGCACACTTTCCTCCAGACGTTTCTTCCAATATCAGTCAAATTCCAGAGAATGATTCAAATAAGCCTCCAGGATGTGTCTGACCAGGTATTGTACTATGCAAAATGACTATACATGTGCAATGCCGATGTTAAGCCTACTCACTAAATCTTTGAACTGTTTAGATTTCATAACTTGTGAAAAATATCTGCATGGACAACATGTAGCAAATTTAGTGTCCTGGATTCATTATTTTTTAGATTTACACAAAGAGATTATAAAATTCAATACACTTGTAATAGTGCCTAATACTTCCATGGCCTACATATAGCCTGCCTGAACCTGAATAGTGTTATACATGTATGTGAAGGTTTTGTATGTACTGTTTATGCATTTTGTTACTGAAAATATATAAACACCAGTGAACTAATATATCCAAACACTCACTCCGTTCATAAATCTTCAACCTACATACAGTTCTTACTGACACCTGACATGATTTAAAATCTTACCCGTTGTTCATGTTACTTTGTAGATATCTATAAATATACCAAAAATTAACTGCTCTGCCAAATGAGTTAATTAATGCTAGTTAGTCGTTCTCTTTACTGTTTACTTCTTCCTTGGCACACACACATAAAGGGTACTATTTTCACATTTTGGTAACACCATTTGCCTAGTAGGTGTCTGCCTACCTGGCTATGTAGAAACCCGATCCATATTTCCCCATGCTCAACACTGCTTAGGTTTCTGAGAAACCAAATGTGGAGATGCACGTCTTCTTCTGACTGACCTTTAGCCTACTGATTCAGTTTTTTTGCCTACTCAGATCTGCTCTACAGACACCTAGCATATTCTAACCTCATCCAGCTGACAATTTCGTCTGACCTACTGAGGTATTTATTTAGGCAAGTTATCATCCAGATATTGTCGAAGGTTAAATCTTTATCACACTTTAATATTATTTTACGTTTATCTTCTGTGTATAAGATCAATTCATCTATTTCCCAGGTAAAAGCTAGCAAGCGTCGGAAAGTGCAGATTGATCCTAAGATGGCCGCTGACGTCCCAGAGGGAGTGTTGCTTGGGCTTGGAAACCCCCTCCTGGATATGACTGTCACGGCAGACGTGGAGTTCTTGAAAAAGTACGACCTGGAGGCCAACAATGCCATAATTGCTGAGGAAAAGCATGAAGGCATGTTTAGAGAACTGACAGAAAAATACAAACCCACTTATATGCCAGGAGGTGCCACCCAGAACTCTATTCGTGTGGCCCAGTGGTTACTAGGGAAGTCCAATGCAACTACTTTTATGGGGTGCGTGGGACAGGACGACTTAGCTGAAATCTTAAGAAACAAAGCTGCAGAAGTTGGTGTTAATGTTCACTACCAGGTCAATAAAGATTATCCTACAGGGGTGTGTGCTTCTATTATTACTGGTGAGAATAGATCTCTAGTGTCCAGTCTTGGGGCAGCAAACTACCTTAACGTGGACTTCCTGGATGACCCAGAGACATGGGCCCTGGTGGAGAAGGCTCAGTTCTACTACATTGGGGGGTTTGTGTTTCCTGTTTGCACTGAAGCTATAATGAAAATTGCCAAACATGCTGCTGAGAAGAAAAAGACTCTTGTTATGAATCTTTCAGCTGGATTTCTGTGTAGATATTTTGCTGATCCAGATATTGATATAATGCCTTACATCGATATATTAATTGGGAATGAGAATGAGGCTGAGCGTTTCACAAGCCGCGCAGGAATAGAGACTGATGACCTAAAAGAGATGGCCTCAAAGACAGTAGATCTGCCAAAGAAGAACAAAGACCGTAAGCGAATTGTCCTGTTTACACAAGGTAGAGACCCTATGGTGGCTGCAGCTGGAGGGGAAGTCAAGGAATACCCTGTAACTCCTGTGGATCCCTCTATAATCAAAGACACCAATGGCTGTGGAGATGCATTCATGGGTGGTTTTCTGTCTCAAGTGGTGCAGGGCAGGCCTATAGAGGACTGTATTCGCTGTGGCCAGTATGCTGCTAAGACTGTCATACAACACTGGGGATGCAACTATCCAGACACACCAGACTTCAAATAACATGTACACATATGTATACAGGGGCATGCATGCACAGTAAAATGCAACTCCTCAAGATTTGGATTAATTTAAAAGGCAATCTAAATAAAGAAAAACAAGATGGGGATTTTTCAATGTATGTTGGGTATTACGGATTGTATTTCTCCTTTTAAAAATGATAATTGTAACAAGCAGCCCTGGCTGGTCTGTCCATTTAAAATTATTTGCATTGTTCAACCAAAATACACCAATTTTCCTTAAAATCATTTGATTACACCATAATCATTTTATAAAATGCATGCTTACTGTATAGCTAGAATTCTTGAATCATTCATCATTAATTAATATATTCCAGTGGAATAGTCTGTGCTCCCGTTTAAATTAAGTGAAGTTTTTATTCCTGTAACTAGCATATTTTGTTTACTAGTAAATGTTAATGAATGAGAAATAGTATTCAGATGTTGTTTTTCATTTTACTTTATTATTATTGTGTAAAAAAAAAACAAGAATGCACAGTCCCTATATCAAGTTTGAACAAGTAACATTCTTATATAGTTTAAAGTGAAATATAATCTTGTAGAGTAGAGAATATAATGAAGAATTTATACCATATAACAAGCTGTACTTAAAATTTGAGAAATACAAGCCAACTACAGCTGACACATGTACAGGCAACCTATATCAGTTCTAAGCAGAGCTACTGTCACACTGCACGATGATACTTCAGTATTATAAGTAATGTAAAACACATACACGCACACATAAACATGCACGCACACACAACAAGACCTGTGGGTCAAAAATGTTCAATAAACCCAAAAGTATTGAAGCTGCAGAAGCTTTCTTAGGAATAAGTTGAATTTTGAAGGAGTTTAACATACTCGGAAGTGATTTATTATTATATTTCACAACAAAGAACTTTAAAGTTTTTAAAAGAGAAATTTAAAAAATATTAATAGTCATACAAAAGCATGAAAAATGTCAGACTCCAAGACAAAGGTATTGTTAAAGTAATCTGATACTGAGTCATTTAATTAAAATGTGAATTACTGGACAAATTTTACCCAATCTTATCCTGATTCCACCTCATTATATGAGTTTACCTGGTCCCCTTTAAATATTGGCCATTTTTCTAATGGTTCCACAAAGTTTTTTCTTCTCATCACAACTTCACCCTCTTGTGGTGGTACGTCTAACTGCTGTAAGCGGCTATTTGTGGTCCACGGCCTGTCTTTACCAAGATGCCATCTTTTCAAAACGACTGGTTCTTGGCCTTTTAGCTGCCCTTTCCATCTCCATGTTAGAATAAAGTGACGGTCCACATAGCGTTTCCAATAACTACACATCAACTGCTGCGTAAGCTTCATCTGATAATGCAAGAAAAGGGGGAATTTTTTTTATCTTTTGTCATAAGTATTTTAATTCTAAATAGGCAGCAAACGTGTCAAATGGACAGACATGTAAATGGCAAAACTGATAGAAGAAGTAACACTGATAAAGTCCAAAATTTGTGAACAACCAACATAACAATGAAAAAGAACATTTTTTTTTTTTTTTTTTTTGAAAATTTAAATGTAATTTGTCTGTTTGCTAAAATTTGTCTGGACATAAACACGCTTTTTTAAACCAAATATTTCCCTTGTCTCTTAATCTTTAGTAATACATATTATTTTTTTCTTTAAAAAGCTACCTTGAAGAGAAAAATCCACAAACTTTTCTGGAGAAAAAGGTCTTATGCACCAATAAAAAGAAAAAAGGTCAAACTGCCAAATGATTTCTTAGGCAAAAAATTAGGTCACTTTAAGGGGGGAGCTTATAATCTGGTCTTTTTTGCAGAGTTTTCCCATTTTACCTGCTACTTTTTTATCCATAATCATGAACTACATTTGAATGTCATTATGTACCAAACTAAACAAGAAAATCAAAAAATTTATATATCAGAAATTGATTGAAAGTAAATACTAAAGGCCGTTATATGCACTGTTTCCAATGTACTGGTGTTACCAGAGCAGCTGCTTTTTGCTAGAGGATTATGTAAATTAAACTTCAGACAGAGCCTACTATTAAGAAATTTAAAGCAGACCTGCAGGTAAGATTCAAATCAAAAGGGGAACCCACAGTGTAGGAAATTTTAGAAAAAACTGAGGCAATTTGAGGCATCTTATAAGTTATTGGAATGTACGTACATGCTTATGTGGGGCTCAGTGTGTCTTTTGTCTGTAAACTATAACAGAATTGGTACGTGTATTGATACTAACCTCTACCAGGGCCACTGATTGATTTTTACTAGGTATTCAGGCTAATTTTCGGCATTTTCTCTACCTTGATCTGGTCCCGAAATATAAGTGATAATTACTACAGGGTTCAGGGGTGGAATTAGGCCGTCTTCTGGGTCTTCTGGAAGACGGTCAGATTTTCAAGTTTACATTGTCAGCCATCTTATGTTTTCTGTAGGAAGATGGTCAAAAATGGAAGATGGATCAACAAAGATAATTTGGAAGACTGTCAGAAAATATCTCTGGATCCGCCCCTGGGGTTGGTCAATTGCATACATCTTCTGAGGCATAGCAGTTGATACGTCCCTGCTCAGTCCTAACCTTTAACAGTGCAACAGACGGATTTTCACTAGATGTTCACATACACGTCTGACTAATTCATGACACAGTTCTCTACTGTGACCATGTAACAAATTCCAAGTGATAATTACAGGGTTGGTCACTGTTTGGCTTTGCACTGATTCTCAGGCACAGCAGTTGACTTGTCCCTGTCAAGTCCTACCCGCACGAAAATGCAGTAGTATCGAAATAGCAAAAAAGCATTAACGATTGCAGTATGATTGCAGTAGTCTACNTAAGAATGCACAGTCCCTATATCAAGTTTGAACAAGTAACATTCTTATATAGTTTAAAGCGAAATATAATCTTGTAGAGTAGAGAATATAATGAAGAATTTATACCATATAACAAGTTGTGCTTAAAATTTGAGAAATACAAGCCAACTACAGCTGACACATGTACAGGCAACCTATATCAGTTCTAAGCAGAGCTACTGTCACACTGCACGATGATACTTCAGTATTATAAGTAATGTAAAAACATGCACACATACACGCACACACAACAAGACCTGTGGGTCAAAAATGTTCAATAAACCCAAAAGTATTGAAGCTGCAGAAGCTTTCTTAGGAATAAGTTGAATTTTGAAGGAGTTAAACATACTCGGAAGTGATTTATTATTATATTTCACAACAAAGAACTATAAAGTTTTTAAAAGAGAAATTTAAAAAATATTAATAGTCATACAAAAGCATGAAAAATGTCAGACTCCAAGACAAAGGTATTGTTAAAGTAATCTGATACTGAGTCATTTAATTAAAATGTGAATTACTGGACAAATTTTACCCAATCTTATCCTGATTCCACCTCATTATATGAGTTTACCTGGTCCCCTTTAAATATTGGCCATTTTTCTAATGGTTCCACAAAGTTTTTTCTTCTCATCACAACTTCACCCTCTTGTGGTGGTACGTCTAACTGCTGAAAGCGGCTATTTGTGGTCCACTGCCTGTCTTTACCAAGATGCCATCTTTTCATAACGACTGGTTCTTGGCCTTTTAGCTGCCCTTTCCATCTCCATGTTAGAATAAAGTGACGGTCCACATAGCGTTTCCAATAACTACACATCAACTGCTGCGTAAGCTTCATCTGATAATGCAAGAAAAGGGGGATTTTTTTTTATCTTTTGTCATAAGTATTTTAATTCTAAATAGGCAGCAAATGTGTCAAATGGACAGACATGTAAATGGCAAAACTGACAGAAGAAGCAACACTGATAAAGTCCAAAATTTGTGAACAACCAACATAACAATGAAAAAGAACAACATTTTTTTTTCTTAATTTTAATGTAATTTGTCTGTTTGCCAAAATTTGTGTGGACATAAACTAGCTTTTTTAAACCAAATATTTCCCTTGTCTCATAATCTTTAGTAATACATATTGTTTTTTTCTTTAAAAAGCTACCTTGAAGAGAAAAATCCACAAACTTTTCTGGAGAAAAAGGTCTTATGCACCAATAAAAAGAAAAAAGGTCAAATTGCCAAATGATTTCTTAGGCAAAAAATTAGGTCACTTTAAGGGGGGAGCTTATAATCTGGTCTTTTTTGCAGAGTTTTCCCATTTTACCTGCTACTTTTTTATCCATAATCATGAACTACATTTGAATGTCATTATGTACCAAAATAAACAAGAAAATCAAAAAATTTATATATCAGAAATTGATTGAAAGTAAATACTAAAGGCCGTTATATGCACTGTTTCCAATGTACTGGTGTTACCAGAGCAGCTGCTTTTTGCTAGAGGATTATGTAAATTAAACTTCAGACAGAGCCTACTAAATATTAAGAAATTTAAAGCAGACCTGCAGGTAAGATTCAAATCGAAAGGGGAACCCACAGTGTAGGAAATTTTAGAAAAAACTGAGGCAATTTGAGGCATCTTATAAGTTATTGGAATGTACGTACATGCTTATGTGGGGCTCAGTGTGTCTTTTGTCTGTAAACTATAACTGAATTGGTACGTGTATTGATACTAACCTCTACCAGGGCCACTGATTGATTTTTACTAGGTATTCAGGCTAATTTTCGGCATTTTCTCTACCTTGATCTGGTCACGAAATATAAGTGATAATTACTACAGGGTTCAGGGGTGGATTTAGGCCATCTTCTGGGTCTTCTGGAAGACGGTCAGATTTTCAAGTTTACATTGTCAGCCATCTTATGTTTTCTGTAGGAAGACGGTCAAAAATGGAAGATGGATCAACAAAGATAATTTGGAAGACTGTCAGAAAATATCTCTGGATCCGCCCCTGGGGTTGGTCATTTGCATACATCTTCTGAGGCACAGCAGTTGATACTTCCCTGCTCAGTCCTAACCTTTAACAGTGCAACAGACTGATTTTCCCTAGATGTTCACATACACGTCTGACTAATTCATGACACAGTTCTCTACTGTGACCATGTAACAAATTCCAAGTGATAATTACAGGGTTGGTCACTGTTTGGCTTTGCACTGATTCTCAGGCACAGCAGTTGACTTGTCCCTGTCAAGTCCTACCCGCACGAAAATGCAGTAGTATCGAAATAGCAAAAAAGAATTAACGATTGCAGTATGATTGCAGTAGTCTACTGCGCTGGAGTATCTACTGCGTTTTCTTGCGGGTATCCTCTATATCAGGGTCACAGATTGATTATTCAATACGTATTCACAGATATGTATCTGGCTCATTCTTTACATGTTTTTTCTACTAGTTGTGACACTGTGAAGATTCTACTAGTTGTGACACTGTGAAGAATTCCAAGGGTGTACCTAGGCTGATAATTACTACAGGGTTGGTCATATATGTAGTTAATATAGCTACTTAGATACTGCAACTCACAAGTCCCAGCAGAATAACTCCAACTGCAATCAAGACAATTAATTGCTCTAAACCAAAGTTCATAATTTGCTGTGCTCTTAACTGTACCTTTCAAAGTTTGAAAGGTTAATCAGGGGCGGATTTAGGCCGTCTTCTGGGTCTTACAGAAGACGGTCAGATTTTCACGTTAACATTGACGGGTATCTAATTTTTTTGTTGGAAGACGGTCAAAAAAGAAGAATGGATCAACAAAGATAATTTGGAAGACTGTCAGAAAATATCTCTGAATCCGCCCCTGTTTATGAAATTTACAACCACAGAAAATGTGCCCCAGAAAACTTTAGAATACTGCAATAAGCGAGATCATTAATACCATTTATAATACTCATTAAGAGGCTGACTGAATGAAAATTAAGAGTCTTTGAATGGACTGGGTCAATCCCAACCAAATTAATAATTTTTCCAAAATCTTGGGGGGGGGGGGGGGGAATACTTATTGTGTGACAAATTGAAAGTGTCTGTGACACTATTTAGGGGCTAAAATCAAGCTGGGCATCTTTTGGTTCATTTTTTAAAATGATGCATTGGAAAGTCACTAAGTGAGCACCTACCAAGTACATGTACAGTAGCATGGTAGCATTTTTAACGTCATTACTACACTAATTTGAATAAAGTCAGAGATGCATTATCCTAATCGAATCCGAATGAGAGAGAGGGAGAGGGTGAGACAGAGAAAGAGATCTAGCCGTCATCTCAGTGAAGGAATCATTTATTTTAATTCAAAATAAGGTCCACAACCCACCAACTTCAAATATCTTACCTTTACATGATATGATCAGTTTGCCAGTATCCAACATGTGGGAGCTGCCATCTTGTTTTTTCATGATGCAGTAGCGCTCCTGGCGGCAACTAAACGAATCAGTCTATGAGTCTGTGAGTTTTCGAGTCTTCCAGAAACCTAACGACGTTTTTTTTTTTTTTTTTAATGTAGATTTAAAATGGAAATCTTATCATTTACTTGTCGACAATAGGGAGGAGAGACGACTTGGAGGGTTTGACAGGATTGACTACAGTATCTTAATGGAAAAAATTGAAATTCAAGGGATAGGCCTACCAGACTTTCTAAGACGTTGGATTTATTCCTTTCTTTGCGAACGGTTGCAACGAGTAAAATGCAGTAGCTTTAAATCTGATTGGGTTCAGCTAGTGGGAGGGGTGCCTCAGGGCTTTAAAATAGACCCCATTCTTTTCCTTGCAATGATCAATGACCTGAAAACTTGTTGCTCAGACATTAAGTTTGTTGATGATAGAGTCATGATACGGAGTACATGTAGGGCCTACCTACATTTTAAATTTGCAAATTCGGCGAAACACCGCACCTACCAATTGGCTGACTGGGTGAAGCAAAACAAGATGACACTTGATGCCAGGAAGACAAAGTGGATGGACATAAATTTTTACCAAGAACTGTAATCTTACAATACCAACATTGGAAATAGATGGTGAATGTGTGGAAAAGGTCAAAGAGTTTAAGATAGGCGTACTTGGTGTTATTTTAACCCCAGACCTTAAGTGGGCTGAACACATCCAAACCATGTATGCTAAGGCATGTTTTAGGCTTCATTCACATGGAATGTCTATTTTCTAAATTCTATTTTCTATTCGCGGTAGGGCCTATATCTTGTGATCACGGTCTGTGCCCTGAATATCCCGCGGCGTAATTACTGGCAGCGCGAGCCAGTTACTATAAGTTACTATAAGTAACTGGCTCGTGCTGCCAGTAATTACGCGGCGGGATATTCAGGGCCCAGACCGTGATCATAAGATACCGCGAATAGAAAATAGATTTTTAGAAAATAGATATTCCATGTGAACGAAGCCTAAAGCTCTTTTAATTTTATCTCAGACAGCTAAAGAGGGCAAAACTGGACATACAAGATTTATTAACTAGGCCTATCTACCAGTCTGTACTAAGATCAGTTTTAGAATTTGCGTGTCTAGTGTGGGGACAAGGTCTGACTGCTGAGCAATCTGAATGTCTAGAGTCAGTTCAAAAGAGAGCCTTGAGGATTATTTGCCCTGGTCTCAGTTATGACGATGCCTAAAAAGTTTGTAACATCGACACTATAGACAAACGTAGACATTTGCTGTATCAGAGGTTTTATACAAAACTACAAAATTGTGAAAAATTGAGTCATTTATTGCTCGAAAGAAACACGAAATAACACCAAATTTTTACAATCAAAAGTGATTTAAAAAATTCCTTTGTTAATTATTGCCTTTTAATTTGTAGTAATTCATGAACGCCTTTTTAATCTGTAGTATTTTAGGAATAATTTATTGGTTTATAATTTAAAGTTTATTTTCAATTTTCTTTTAAACATACTGTCTACATCTTCAACGTTAGGGTTGCGATTTTACCTAATAAACTATTACTATATTATTATTATTATAATAGTCTATAACGGCACAGTGTCTGTTCGGTCTGTTTGCACCGAGTTCTGATATCGGTATATTACCAAAACAAAACACCCTAAAACAAAATATAGGCCCTATAGGTGCAGTTATATCGGCAATCGTAGAGTGGAAAAGGCCACCTCAAAATCCTATTACATGTATCAGACTCATATGTGAGTCCCATGTTTTTTATTTCAACGTTTTGACCAAGTTTAACTCTAGGCCTATCATTTTTTATTAGTTTTGTATCTACAGTATATAATGGGCAATAGGAGTCAGTTAAAGCAGTTAAGTTAAACTTATCTTTCAGCCATCCCATTTCAAAGCAGATTCTTCTATCTGCCACCAAAGAGTAGGCCTATACTTGCAAAATGAAAGCTAGAATTAACAGAATTCTACCTTACACCAACACATTCATGAACGAAAAAGAAAGTTAAAGAAAATTGCAGCCATATCATCTATGTGTTAATTTGCTTATCTATTAATTAATCTGTGAGAATACTACCTCATCTTCACCTTTTTAATTAACTAATTAATTTTTTTTTTTTTTGGGGGGGGGGAGGAGGAGGAGCACAGAACAGAGTGATGGCCTAAAGACCATGGCTTGTTGCCAGTATCTTTAAAAAAGAAACCATCCAGCTGCATCCAATAACGTTTTTTTAACTGTTAAAGAATCCCTATGTAGGAACTATGTCGACTGATTATTTTCTCCAGGCATTGCCTTCATGCCGCCCTTTGCTTGCGGGCAAATGTTACCCTGTAAGATTACATCGTTAAAATATGCTTTATCATTTTATGATAACAGATTGATTAGAATTGCAATTTTTTCTAAATTAAACTGCTGGGATGATGGTTATCAAGTATGATTGATGGAGAAATTTAAACATTTTAGCTGTCTTCAAAACTTTGATGAATGCTATTTTTTAGATTTTTCAGTAATTTCAAGACACTTGTGCTGAATAAAACTTACTGATGTAAACTACCAATCAAAGGAATAACAATAAAGCCTATTATTAAAACATGCAAAAAACAGAATTATAGTATTTTTACATAATTAAGTAATTTTAGAATAATAATAAAATTAAATGATTATAGAATATTGATGAAATTAAGTAATTTTAATGCTATCTCTATCTTTCTTGCGAATTGAGGACGTTAACCTCGTTGGAATTTTATCGACAGTAAGAAAATGTTCGTATCGTGGGGGTGATCGTTTGGTAATTAGTGTATTAGACTGCCTCCTTTTTGTTTGGAATAAAACAAAGCTAGACTACTATTTCTTTTTATAGTGAATTTTTAAAGGCACAAATCCGGCTAATGACTTTAGTCATATTTTCAAATAGCCATTAGATCCATGAAATATTGGTCTAAGGATTCATTGGTCTAGGAGGGTTACTTTAGTAGCTTATTTGTGATATCTCTTAAAAGTCAAAGTCCTTACATGTTATACTGAAAGCGTTTTCGAGATGTTGATATTCCACCGCTATCATACGTGATTTTCCCCCAAATTCTTATGGGTGTTTATGAATTTTATTAGCATAAAAAACATTGGATGAGCTTTGACTAAATGCGAAATATGTCCTAGAAAGAAGTCAACGTAGTATTATCAGCTTTCTCCATGCGAATCGACCACCTTAAAGATGAAAAATAACTATCATTAATCATTAAAGCCAATCAAGCTAAGCTACAATTATGTGGTCGAGGGCACCGGCAAAGGTCAATTCCGGGTTCAGTTTTATGTAAACAGTACTCTACTCACACGACGTTTGTCACACTTTGTCAAATAAATAAATAAATAAATAAATAAATAAATAAATAGTTAGATAAATGAATAAATATAAAGCACTTTCTGGAATGGAATCGGTAACACTCAGAATTTTCAAGGTTTTAACCCCCACCCACCGATGATTGGAAATCCCGGTTTCCAATGGAATGTGTGTTTTCCCTTGCCTGCCACTCTCTTCATTCCCATAAGAGTGAAGTGAATCATCTTAAAACGCAGACGCTTCCTAATTAGATGAGGTCGAATGACGTGCAATAAAGTTCAATATAATGCATTTTTAAAGTATAGAACATATTTTTGGGCCCGGCTTTTGTCGTTTGTAAGGCCCCATCCCCAACCCCTAGTATTCCAGGAATTGATCGTGCTATGCGGGCTGGGGAGCATTTAACAAACATATTTCTGAAAATAAAAATTAGTGCTGCTTCGAGCGGGTCTGAGATCCAAAGTCTGGTATGATAATTATGTTCTTCTAACACTGTATCATTCAAGATGGTTTATGGTAAATATATGCTTCATCGGGTATTTCTGACCTTCAACTGGATTTCAGGCAAGTACGTTGTGCACCATCCCGCAGCTCTACAATCTGCCAATCCCGGGAGTTTACGGCGAAACAAAACCGCAGAGATATTCAAAATAAAGATGAGAATTAGTTTAGTTATACCATGGACCGTTTCTCCATATTTTGTTCAAACAAACTTCGTCTTCATAAAAGAAAACAGAAAATAAGTGAATTGGCTCTGGAATAAAGTGGACCGCAGGACGTATTGATTTAGCGAAGATACAGGTGCACTCGGTCGAAAAAAGAGACAGAGAGACTCCAGCCCACCTGTGTGCTCACCTTATTGTACACAGATCACTTTTGCTCTGACGGGGCTCTATTGTGACATTGAATGACGTAGATATGATTCAGTTAAACGTAATTTAATACTGACATCGAGTATATTTCCGTTTAATAATTGTTTCCGGATAACAAGTAACGCAGGAGAAGAAGGGGGATACAAATGCTATAGTCAATCTTATAAAAGTGACATTCATCCTCAACGTGCTGTTTCCTAAACATATTTCAAATATCATTTTATACAAGGAGGATCTCGCCTGAAATAAGTGAAATGTAAGTTAATATTTTAACATTTAAAAATGAAAGCATCTACGTCAGTCGCAGGGAAACAAGGCAGAAACAACAAGTTTCCAACAAATCATGAGACATAGAGAAGAATCTGTGTCTGAAAGTCTCACATAATTGCAACTCTAAGTGTGAATGAGGGACCTGGGTGTACACCTTTTTTATCATAATACTGCACTATTATGATAATATGATACAATCATTGTGTCTTTCATGTAAGGAATCAGAAGTATTATAAATATGTAGACGGGCATTGTCAATGGCTTACAAGGCACCCTTTTCCATTTTCATACAACATTTGTGCAGTGAACGTGAGAGGCTTTAGATGATGTTTTGACAAATTGGTCCTCTTCAGCGAAAACAGCAAAAAAAGAAATTGAAATAGGCAGCTGTTTGAGTCAGTTATTATCTGGGATTGCGATCGATCATTTATCACGAAATGAATTATGTGACATGGTATGCACTGGTAAAAAAACTGACGCTGGTCTCTTATACTGTCACACCCAGACGCTATTTATATACAAATTAGATCCAAATTAACCTGTCACGAATAAGTCCGTAATATTCGTCACCACAATGACTATATATATTTAAGACGGCACGACGGACACGGAGATCATAATTGCTTTGTATTTCCAGAGATCAAACATTCAGTTGAATTCCATTGCTGAATACCACTTATTGCTACAGATGTTGGAGCGTTCTGCGTGCCCCAAGGTTTCTTGGCTGTGGGTTCTACTGGCTTGCGCCCGTTTCGTCACTTCGTCATCCGAGCAGTGTCCATGGCTTGATGACCTTACGCCCTGGAGTGATGCCACCGCCTGGCCGAGCAATCAGGTATGGGTTGAATACCTTATCTTATAAGTTTTAACACTGTTGTTTCAGGGAGTATGCATACATATTAAGATTGAAAGCTGAAACCAACCTGTGGCTACGGATCCAAATTAAATATTTCTTATGCCCTTAACTTTTTTTTCATTTTTTGTCTTTTCAATATTAATTAATTGATATTGATATTAATTAATTGATAAGATGATGGCGAAATAGTACTTAACGAACGTTTATGATTCATTGCATGCAAAATCTTTTTATTAACTAATTACCTGTACTCTAACATCCGATTATTTATAAACGCTTTTTGCCTATTTTTGCTCATTTTGTCGTGCTTATATAGTTAATATTAAAGCGTCTATAACATAAATGAAAAAACGAATGTATACATAAAGGTGTCACCGGTAGCTATGTGGAAATTGTCAAGCCGCGCTTAGTAAGTATGAAAAACTCAGGTAAAATAATCTAAATTATATGCATAAACTAATCCCATGTTCAGCATAAGTGATATATGCACATCATTTGGCGTTGAAAAAGAATGTGCGAATTATAGGAACAAATTTCGTTTGGAAGCCCGTGACCTTATGGTGGAAAAGGTCGCTGGTCAAAGGTTCCGTATCAAAATTGTGAGAGCACTAACGGGCGCGAACATATGAGAGAACATGTTCTGTATGATTGTCCTCTCACCGCAAACATTAGGGAGAGGTTTATTATTGGACTCCAGACAGGCCACAACCATTTGGACAAACAGATATCGTGGGAAGAAAACATATTGTTAATCTTAAAAACTTGGAATCCTGCTCACAATTCAGAATAAATGAAATATCTATCTATTTATCTCTCTGTGGGTGTGGAAATAAAGTTTCATGTGACTCTACAATACTGCATTTATTTGGCAGAACTAGTGACTAATGTTATTCTGTATTTCGACGTGAACGCTGGGTCACGCGGGTCGTTCTGTACCATTCTCCCAATCATGTTTCTATTGTGAGTGTGACAAAACCAGAAAACGAATAAAAAACGTCAGCCATACAAATGTTAATCTTCTGGGGGTATTCAGTGAATGATTTACTTATCGGGCGGATTGTGAAAGATGAACTTTCAAACTGGCAAGTACTAAGGTACGTTAACTGAGTATGTTGTGCGTATACAGGTTATTGAACTTTGAAGCACACCACAATTTTTTGCCGAATAACGAGCATATAAACGTTATATTCATCATTTTTTAAAAAAGATAAGCACTTAAAAACATCAGGCCCCAGTTTCATCTTCACTGCATGGCGCTATCCTCTGGATACCACTTTCCATTGGGTGTAATTATTATCCTCTAGACAGTTAGCTTGTGGGTGAAGTAATGTTTCACAAATGCTGGATACTTATATTGCTCTCCAGTGGTTAATATGGCTGCTTTCCTCTAGGATATCTTTGATGAAAAAGTTTTGATCATGTTAACCCAAAACAAACTAAATAAAAAAACGGAGACCCTAAGATGACGTACAGTATAGTGTAGGTGACACGTTACGTCGTCGCTGAAGATCTATTTGAATAAACATGCCGCCTGATGATCGGACATGCCCATAGGAGTTTGGGGTATTAAATACGTCTTAGTTTTTTTATAATCGTGTAAGATATGTACAATATAAGTCAGATTTTAAATCCGCCAAGGCGAGATTGAAATTTCAGTAATCCTGTCATATCTTTTTTGCGTTAAAAAATCTCCAGGGCCACTTAAAAATACTAAATATAGAAAAGGGGATAGGTTTTCACCGTGTCGCACTACTATATTGCAAGAGAAGTAGGCCTATTCCGACAATTCACGCAGCATTTCTGTTTCTGTAAGTCTATCAACAAATGTTCCACAAATTCAATTCCATTCTGAAAAAAAAATTATATACAAATTAGATTAAAATTATCCATCATATTTCAATAACTCATTTATAGCATGCAATTTTCATTCTCTCTCTCTCTCTCTCTCTCTCTCTCTCTCTCTCTCTCTCTTTCGCATCCTTGTTTAGAGGAAACTTGGTGGAAAAAAAGATACAGCACTTGCCTATGAATAGAAGGAAAAGAAATGTACGGTAGCAATTGAAACCAAATCTTTAAAACCCGAAAGGAAAACAGCCTGTATGCTGCTGATAGTATCCTATAAACCGCAGCGCGCTGTACTTGCTAAAACCCACTTTACACTGGACGGCGTTCTTTTTGCGACCTTTGTGCGACCATGAAACTGGCATCGCTGTGGTCGTAGAAAGGAGCGAAAGCATCGCTTTGGTCGCAGAGTAAATGCTCAATGATCCTCCAGTTGTCGGCACGTGAAGTGTTTTTTTTTCTTTCGCTCTGGTCGTACTGGGACGCAGAAAGGATGCTGACCAGTGTAAATGGGGCCTAAGTGACGTTAAATTATAAATACAGAATAAAAAAGCTTTGGGTTATATTTAACTAGAAGGAGCCAAATGTATAACAGCATTTCTACTGCTTAAAAACAATATTTTTGTTATCAGTTTCCTTCGAGCATCGCTTGGTAGCAGGGATATTTAGGTATTTAACAACTGTGCATTTCTGATCATACGTTAGTAGTCACTCTGATAGTTGTATAACCTCCATCGCCTTGGTAAAGACAGGCAATAAAATTCGATTCTCTCTCAAATATAAAAAGTGGTAGTGACACCGGTAGTGACCACACAAAAATCTCTGCAGAAGTGCAGACATTTGAATATGGATCACTCGAAGTAAACCGTTGATTTCATTTTTGCAGCAAAATAAAGCATATTTTGTTACTGTTGGTAAGTTTATTTATTTGTTTGTTGTTTTATACATATATCCTTAATTTTATTCGTAGTAAAATACATCAACCTAGAGACACTCCTAATGACGTAAGATGACAACGAAATTTAAATTGATAATGTGCTATAAAGGATAACGAGATTATCATCACGATCAGACAGTTAACACATCAAGATAAATAGGATTCATTACATCAAATAGCATGGTCCTTGGCTGCAAGGGGGGAGGAAGCCCTTTCAAATTTCACAAAAATTATTTCTTGAGGATCTTTAAAAAGAGCTCCTTAAGTCCTACAATGAACTAAACAGCCCCCCAACACACAGACACCGGTTTCTCTCAGCCTGCAACTCGAAATAGTAATAATATTTGATTTGTAAGAACCTGACATATTTCCAATCTAAATAACAATTAATATTTAATAAATATCGATAGATGACCTGGGGGATAATGACTGGAACTGATTAAATTAACAAACAGGATAAATCTAATATCAGTGATAAACTCCACCATTGTTTGAGAGGAAATTACAAAGTTTATCAAGCTATTGCCGTGATGTGCAATAATGTGTTCAATAAGTACCATTGCCATTATTGCCATGGAAGCCTGTAGGTCTAACTTAGAATGCAGTTTGTTTTGTCCTGCGAGCTGTGATTGGTTAAAATGCTCCACTTCCCTATTCTACGGCTTCAGGGTACAACTTGTTTTAAACAACCATCCATAATTTTAAAACACGTCCTTGAAATTTGAAACTATTTGAGTTAACTGTTTGAGGATTACGGGAAGGGTATCAAAAGAGTCCCTTACAATCCAATTTAGCTTTGTTAGTCATCACCTTCCTTAGTCATGTTGACAACGTGACTTTACCTACAGGACCCAATGAATATTTTACACTGTGCACGTGTGCTATTTTATTGTCAAGTGTAATTTATGTTATGATTTTCAAGTAAGCGCTCTTAAAAAAAAAACGTTAACCAGGTGCAAGATGATAAAACCATTGAATTGAGCACGTGCGGGCTTTTTCACGTACTCTGTAAGTTGGCATGATGGAACATCAAGTATTATTTATTGAACGTATTTTGTCATCTAAATTACCGCTGTCACCACCATTATTACCACTACCATCATGTACTCCGTACTGTGTTAGGCTTTTTTTTTTATTGAGCAACAATTATCATTCTACGTCGGTATTTGAGTGGTCGTAGGAATTGTAGAAAATCTTTAACCCAGTCTTACGAATTTTTGCAGTAGGTGCCATTTTCATCCCTGAACAAGATTTTATCACGAAAATTGGCAGAGTTGACCAGGAGAGTATAGGTTACAATCCCGTGCCGCCATTTTGGTTTACATGTTTTTGTGATGAAGTTAGGAGCCCCTAATTACAGATTTTCGTTAAACAAATGCATCATTTTGCTATATCAACGATAAAATCTGAACTAAGACTTTAGAAAAATCGCTGGCACGGTTTTGGAGTACTAAATGGTGTCATTGAATTGGCGTTAAAACGGTGATCGTGGGTGCTCAAGTAAAAGAGAAAGAGAAACCGATTTTCAGTTTTTACCCCAAAATCGCATTATGATGTCACCCTTAATAGAACATGTGTAAATCGTAATTTAGTCCCTGAGCACTGAAGATTTATTTATTACCAAAAAGAATGTATGTAAGGCAGTAAATAAGGAGTTTTGGGGGAATGGTGACAATATCCTTAAATTGAATATTCTCAGTAACTTAAACTTATTGTGACACACATTCATTTTAAGGATATTGTCACCCTATTTTGAAAGTCTATCAATAAATTACATGCATTTTCGTTTCACAGATTTTTTCAAACGAATAATAAAACAAATAAGCTTTAAATGAAAATATATAGCAGTTTACAAAGACGCGGCTTGATCCTGTCTGTGTAAGCCTTCCTACTCTCTATACCAGGAGGCCATCTAGCTGGTACAAAACTGGACGAGGGGCTTCTTTCGCCCATATTTGTAATATCTGATAGAGTACTTACTTATTAAGGTGTCTTATAGCTAGAAGGGGCCTCTGGTGGAGAGGCTGCTGACGAACTGAGGTGTCTGCACGCGTGACACGAAGAAGTTTATTATAAAATTTACACTTGTGAATAGATTCTCCGACATAAAAATACGGATAGCAATTTTTTTTCATTTCTTTATATGCCATCTTTCTCTATATCGTAAACCAGTTTATGAGAACAAAACTGTTTAATACCCCTATATAATAATAATAATAATAATAATAATGATTATGTCGATATATAACCATCTCTTTAATGATCAAAAAGTAAAGTTCAGTTCTTGTATTCCGTACTCCACAGGAGTCTCTGTGTGGTTTACATTCGCCTGGTTATTTTTTGGCCCCTGATACAGACTGGATGTTGATGCTCTTTCCTCCGTGAGGAGGATACAGCCGTATGAGACTCAAAATAAAAATATCTTTCACGCAAGGACTCATGGAATGGCGGGATAAAATGATCCCGAC